TCATTTCTGTGGAGAACCGAGTCCTTTGGAGAGTAAGCTGTTTAAATGCAAATCTGTTTTCCCGTCCTCCCGTCAGCCTCCTGGTTTGGACAATAAGCTCTCTTCCCAGATTTGTTAAGATGAAAAGCCACGCTGTAATTTGCTGCCGCTGTGAATCATACTTTTCAATTTTACAGTGTGTACAGTGTGTACTACTGACAGGAGAGGCGCGCTGCCTGTACGGTCTCTACCAGGCACGAAAATGGACTAAATCTCATACATCTTTGGTACTTTCTTATGCTATTACTCCACTTTCACGCCGACATTTGACATCTAAATTGCTGGTTTTTACAACGCTATTGTTGTATGGGGACTATGTGTTACTTCCGGCACTACTATTACTCAGATCAGAGCAGTGGCAGGTGATTGGATTAAAAAGAGAATCTTATATTACCTTCATATTTAAGGTTATTACTCATTTTATTCATCAACTGAAACAACCTAATTACCAAATATGTGTTGCATTATGAAATTGAGTAGAAATAGACATATTTGAGCTTTTATTACTGGTTCAATGTTGTCTACATAAATTGCAGCAAATAAGAGGCTTGTTTTTGAAGAACCGGCCTCCCGTCCAAGAAGTCTCACGTCTGCCACGACCTTCTCTGGGCCGTCGGCTGACATTGAATAGTTCCCTTTTTTTTGCCTTTGACAATTATTGAATGGCTTCACAAGTAAGATACTGAATCACAAAGCTTCTCAGCTCTCTCAGTTCAGAGAGATGATGAATGTTTTTTGATAGTCCCAGCGTAGAACTGTGTGTGTCTGTCTGCGTGCATGCGTGCAATGCGTCTCTGCCACATCTGCTCCTGGGCTGAACGCAGCACGAGAGCGTCGTCACGGAAGGTCCTTTGATTGACAAGAGGAACAGAAGGTCGAGCCACTGCGCTCGACGCATCGGTCCGGCTCAGGTGTGCAGGTCGCAGTCCGAAGCCTCGACGTCGGGAAACCGGATGAAAGTTGGAACCACGTCCGAGGCTCTAAACGTTAGTTTAGTGATTGTTGTGACCGGTGTGTAAGACCACATTATAGTCTGGACAGAGTGTCTGCGTGTTTGTTAAACGTATAAAAGTGTTGTTTGTCATTATTAATACAACTGCTCCGTGTTCATTTAAAGCAGATTTTTAAATACATCATTCATATAAAACTCCTAAAAAACACTCAAGACCTCTTAAAAACTTTCGCCACTTAACGTGCTTTAATGTTCATACAGAAACTGGTGTATTTAAACACAAGACAAAACGAAGGAGGACGTTACGATGCCCAAAGTGGTTCAACATTTTTCTTTCTTCCATTTAGCAAAGGTCTGAAGAGTACCAACATGCCGGACATCCTGTTGCAGGCTTTCCCCCTGATAGAACAGATAATGGAGGGGAAAGTGTGATTTAAGCAGTCCCTCTAATTAGCTGCAGGAGAAAGCGGTTGAAAGCATCAAGTGTGTGTTGCAAAAAAAAAACACACATTTTTCTACATTGCTGTCAATCAACCATTTAGTGTGTTCCAATATGGGTTCCGCAAATTAAATGCAATTACAGATTTCCATTTATTATGCAGGTGCATAATTCCCATGAGCAGAAAAACACAACGACATACTGAAGAGGACACCGCTGTCTCTCACACTGAACACTGAAGCCACAGCTACATTCTAATTAAAAAATGCAATATTGTAATTAGTGAGAGCTCTGAAGTTCAAGTTGTAAGTGATGTGTTAGTGCTTTACTTATCAGCGACTGTAGTGTTTAAGACCCATTATATTCCAACAAGGGCCACAATGAGGCTGAAGAAGAATGTTAACCATAATCTAGATTCATGAATATACTCTTATACGAGAGCACAACGTTTAAAGTGATTTAAAGAAATAACGTGGAGATACGCCGTTTTCTTATTGAGATTTGAATGAAAAGATCAACATCAGTCTTGTGTGTGAGGTAAAGTACAGCGATATCCAGCAGGCTGTTAGCTTAGCTTAGCTTAGCGGATAATTAACCAGATCACTAAAGAAAAAGAAAAGGTCTCTAATTAGAAATGTGCATCTCGTTTGCTTAATGAGGAGTTTTTAAGTGTGTTCATTCAGCGTGAAATACATTCTAGAGAACTTGAAATTCATTATTAGCTACGATAAGCTAACTGACTGCTGGTTGTATATTTACACCTGGCTACATTTAACGGACATGTTAAACCTATGATGGTAAAGATTTCTTTGAAGAGTTAACTGGAGCTCGTGTCCGGTCCTGAAGTCGGCTTAAGAATAACAGCAGTTGAAAGGCTAATTGTAAAAAGGAACGCCTACACTCTTTCTTACTGTCCTGGTCCATTTTAAATATGACACCTTCTGAACCATTTATAAAATGCGTGCGTTTCTGCTCACATCAACTCGTTACGTTATAGTGTGTATACATGTGAGCAAGTGCACGCGGCCGCAAACATGAATAGTGATTCAACCCTAACAACCCAACATCACATTCTCCGTCCCCCTCTCAGAGTCTGTGAGCACCAGAGCGGATCCAAGGGGGGCCTCTACGAAGTCGCTGCTTTTCCCTGTGTTTCTACCACGAAAGAGAAGCAACACACACACACACACACACACACACACAATTCGTCCAATGTGTCAAAGTCGTACGTAGGATCGCGCTACTTTTTGTTCTTCCTAGATAGAATGTTTTGTTGGTGTAAGATCTGTCGTAAGTGGGAAACAGATGAGGGAAGACCATATTTTGATTTGGTCATAGTGGTCCATATTGAATGAAAACCTGGTTGCTTAGGTGATTCAGCGGACATCATATGTGCACAATAATTATTGCATTAAAAAAATACATTTTCACGTTTGTAAATATTATTCTGGAATAAATCCCACTGTGAATTACTCGGTTATTCAGATATTTATTATTTTTTTGCCACTTTTTTCAGTTCTGTTTTAGGTGTAAACCAGCTACACTACGTTTGCAAACTTCTACTTGCAGAATACTCAACTTATGACTTTCCCTTTTTAGAAAAATAAAAAAAGATGAAAATGAAATAAGGGAAGGCAGATACTCGTGTGTGCCACATAACCTGTTTTCTACAAAATATCAAGGAAAACTAAATGTTTCATGAATAAACAAAAAAATATTTTTTTAAATATTCAAAAGAATATATGAAAATATAAAAAAAAGACAGTACTTGGAAAGATTATCTTCTAAGCAATGAGATATTAACAAGCTTTGGATTTAACATTCAACCAATAATGATCCGCAGAATGTTTTTATTAAAATTCTAAATAGCGGAAAATCCAGTTATGCGCATTTTAATGGCATCTTTGACTTTTTTGTAGAGCACACCCAAGTGGACTTGTGGGACAAATTTAAGGTCAATCGGTCATGGGAAAAAAAGCGTTGGCTAGAAAATTTCTTGATATGCGTGTCAAATTTAACAATGGTTCGGAGAGAAAAAGGCAAAAATATATAGAGAATAATAGCAATTCCTACAGGTCCCTCTCCAACAATATGATTCACAAGAGAACTTTTTTATACTATGAACATAAATATGCCTTCAAAGTGTATCAAAAAACAGAATGCTTATCAAAATGTGCTATGGGAGGATCTCCAACGGAGGTCCAACCAAGCCCTGGATGTCTGTTAATCAAGACCTTTTTCCCAAAGAAACTGTTATAGTTTAACATAACAGAGGTGAGAGGGAATCAGGACAGTGAAGTTGCAAATTGGAAATTCTCTGTAGGACTGTTGGTTAACAACTATAACCATGAAACAATAAAAGCAAAAAGGTTTGACAAAGAAGAGATTTTATGAACATTTGTTTTGTGTTCCGTTCTACATTTATTGTGTTGAATCCGTCAGCCGACCTGGCTGTGGTTTCTATGGGGATATTGGGGAAGTGTGGCAGTAATTCCCTCCAATTAATGGTCAAAATAATTTAGCCTGTTAAACAGGGTTGCTATGGCGAGGTAATTACACTAAGTTGGAATAGCACCACACTAATGAATTATTTTTTTCTCTGAGAGTAAAAATGTCCACGAGACAGATCAAGCGTTTCTTTGAAAGATTCTTTCCGGTCAACACGGCTCTTCTGGGTAGCAAAGAGGAAACTGTGAACATTTGTGCACATACTTTATCTTGTGGCGGCCTGATGCCATGGTCATCGTGGCTACACACTGTAGCAAGTGTCATCTTTCAGATGGGATCCCTTCCACCTGCCTCCTCTTTAGCGTCCAGCTGCAGGCGGAGACCCAGGTGCATCCACGACACCCTTCGGACGCAGCCCTTCCTTTCCCTCGAGGTCACCGACACGCAACACACACCGAGTTCCCTCAGGAGATGTTTGCATTACGACACAGGTGACTTGAGATGCACTGGCCAGCACCAGCGTAGGTGCCGAACTGGTTTGTCTCGCTGTGTTTGCAGTGGGATCATTGGAGTGGGAGGGAATCCTCCTTGTTAATTTTACGTCTCGGTTAAAGACGGCAGAAAGTGGGCCACCGACGGAGAAAACATGACCTGCTTCAATCTCCATTCACTGCGTGGATTAAAATCGGCTCTCATCACCGCTGATCTACCGTGAGAAATTGAGAAATGGGATTAATCAATCGTAGACGGTACTTCTATTTGCAAATTAGAAACAGCGCTCGTCACACAACACGTACCTCCATGGCCCTGCTGTTATATTTATGACATGGTTAGTGGGAGGCTTTCTCACAATATGGGAACATCCATCCAACAAAGCTCAAATGTGTAAACTGAACGCTTTATGGAACATGTATCAAGAGGTAAATATGGGGCAGAGAACAAAAACTATATTAAATAAAGGTGTGTGTGAGTTAAGGCATCAAATGTGTGTTAATGTGACGAATTGCCTATATGGTGTGTTTCTATGTTGAACTAGTTATGGTCTTGTATTTCAATACAATTATCCTTGTAAAATTGTATTGAAATACAATTTAGAGAACAAACAAAATAGAGAACATTATATAGGATTTCATATTCTCAATCTCACATTTTATTGTTCTTACATCATACAAATATATGTATGAGCTCACACTCTAGCCTACGTACTGACATTCCCTTAAACATGTTTAATCTCCAAATGTGATAAATTCACAATCATTTCATCTTCAAAATGTATTCAGGCAGATTTCTACATTTGACAGGATCACCATTGTGACGCTCCCGTGCTCTGATTGGATCAATACATTTTCAGTGGGATTTAATAACTACTGTTGCTGACAGTTGCTTGTACCCTTTAGTCACGACACTAACAAAGACAGACACTTGAAAAAAGAAAACTATGAAACAATGGAAACGTTTCCAAGTTAGAATTAAATGTTGCAGATCAGAAAAGGTACTGTATATGTGTATTTGCCTTGTAAATCTTGCCCCAGAGTAAAATAGACGGTTTGACGGATTCCCTCTGAGCCCAATGCTGTTCACTGTTTTTTGGTCTCTCTCTTGTGGTGGACCGAGATTGACGCGTTGGTAGACGTTGATGGAGGGCATCTCGGCTGGCAGACATTTTCTCTGTCTTGATCTGAAAAACAAACGACAGTCAGAGATAATAAAAATCATTTGATGGGTAGCAGCAGCAAATACTGTGTATCGCACAGGTATGAAGCTTATTTTAAATCTATGCTCTGAGCATTGGCTACAACACCAGCGTCCGACACATTGTTAAAAGTAAAGGCTTGTTTTTCATAGCATGCATTGAATTGCGCTCACTGATGAATGCTAAATTAATTCATCATAATGGGAGAACGCTTCTTCCCAATTAAGGGTAAAAGCATTGATTTAGTGATAGCAAGTTACCGTGGATGCTCATAACGTGTGTCTTAAAGTAAGTGCTACGTTGTGGAGAAAATCAGTCAAAAGACTATTTTAATACAAAATTAAATACACATAAATGGCAAAAACAAATGCTTGAACTTTTCCATCATTACAGATGTACTAAAGATGGGTTTGGTCGAATCACATCCCTCCACTGCACCCTTGTTCAACGCTGAGGGTATGTTGCTCTTTGCTGCCCTCACATGCCACCTAAAGGAACTTTCTTTCACTTTGCTCCAACAATCTAACAACTTATCGAAACAGAAATTAATCAAAAGGTTGTCCGATAGTGGCTTTTATTCCTTGCTGGGGGCTGATGTAGCTCCTCGTGCTTGTAAAAGTGCACGGGATCTTACTCACTCTCCACCGAGCCTCAAAACACCAGGAGCTTTTCACAGCTTTTCTCACTGTGCTGCATTTTGCCATTCCAAATGAAATTGTCACATACCGGCTACATTTCCGGTTCTCACCTGAGCCGCCTGCTTCCAAAGAGAGATAACCATCCAATAAGGAGCTGAACCCCGTCAGCCCCCCCATGGCAGCATAAGGGACATCGCGGCCTGTAGGCCGACCACGTGACTCCCTCTCTAGTTTTGTCTCAACCTGACAAAAGCAAAAAGTGACCTGAGTTCCAATTGAGTTCAAAGTGTGCTGCTCTCTGTTGCTGAGCAAATAGCAACAGTGATGTAAATATGTGTCTGTTTCTTACCACTTAATCCGTTTATGTTTGCCTCCACTCACCAGTGTCTGATGGGCAAAGCCGGGCTGACCACACCCGCAGGTGGAGGGGCTCTCGAATCCAGTACAGGAACTGCCTGAAAAAGGTTTTCACATATTGAACATGAACTGTACACAACTCTCTATAATGTCTCTCTTCAAATTACCTTATTTCACACTCACATTTTTTGCACAAGCGGCCAGCGGCTTCGCTGTGATCCTGAGGAAAGTGTTTACACCTGCAGCGGACGGGATTAGTCCCAATCCTGGGAACATACTGGTAGGCTGAGCAGTGACACCCGCTGACCTGACACGGTAGGGACAGGGGCCGCTCACAGGGAACCACCTCAAAGTCGGTCCTGTGTTGCTTGTACCTGGACCAAATGATGTTAAACACGAATGTGTTCATGCATGAAAGTATAAATGTGTGTGTGTGTGTGTGTGTGTGTGTGTGTGTGTGTGTGTGTGTGTGTGTGTGTGTGTGTGTGTAGGGGGGTGACATTTGATATCATGTGGTTATCAAGAATCCTACAACCTGTGTGAACAGAAGCACGGTGTCTCGGGGCCAACAAGTTTGCAGTCGATACCTCCAGGAACCCCAACGCTGACATACAGCCTGTTCTTCGCTCGTTGAGGGAGCATCCTCTTTTTGTACTCCTCGTATTCCTCCGGAGTGAACAGCTGTCCTCCATCATCATCACCCACGATCCTTGAAAAAGACAAAGCACCGATAAAATATCAGATAACACGGGGACATTTTCTTATTTTTACCACTTGTATTGTACTTTAGCTAGCTGTTAAACCTTCCATTAAAATAGCCTGTTGGGTGTCAGCTGCTTAATCACAGGTGAATTAAACACTTCTGATTAACTAAAGTCAGGGGGGGGAAAGCATACAAGTCGTTGGGACAAACCTTTTGTACTCGCAATAATCATCGACTGCTCGTAGAGCTGATTTATCGAGACATATTCTCTCCATAGTCAGGAACCAGAAACGAATAGCGGTTGTTTCTTCCGTGTGGTGTTCTTCGAAACGTTAGTTGCCATGGAGATGTTTGTAGGCGTCCCTGTAACATTAACATTGGCAGTAGCGGATATGAACATTAGCTGCCAGGTGACGGCAGTTTTAACGAACAGCCTTAACACGTTTCCGCAAACTGTACGGTTTTGTTGTTTAAAGTAAACCAGATTAACTGCAGTTCAAATGTTCTCCTGTACCGAAGCCAAAGTAACTGTCACGACTAATAATGAGGATTTGTTAGCGCAAATTGTGACGTCCTCTCTCGACTCGCCTCGAATCAACAGAACTACATTTCCCACAATTCCCCACCAGTGACGCACTCAGGAAACCATGACAGTCCGCACGCCTGGAATTCTAGCCGCTGACTTTTTCTTGCTAGGACCTCGTCTTTTTCGACGGCGCGTCGGAAGAACCCGAAGGGACCGTTAGAGAGGGGAATACCGTAAAGAGAGAGATAAAGCTGCCCCCCTTAACGCGATGCCCGGCGGCTAACGTATCGAGGCAGATATTTCCACCCTGCGCGAGCATCGACGGGTCGGAGTCGTTACCACAAGCATCATTCGGCGTCAGCCGGAGCCGGAGGCGGCGGCAGCAGCTGGAGCTCGCGGGATCCCGTCAAATCACCGACTCGTTTGCTCGTGCGACACGCCGAGGTACAGTATTTTAATGTTTTAATTTCATTGAGATTTGTTCCATTTGCAGATATGACTTGAGCTTCGTCCTTTTCGCCGCGCTGAACTCGCAGTTTGTGGAGTTTTGGGGAAAAAAATGTCTAGTGCATCTTTCCACGTGCCGGTCATTAACATTTCGCGTGTTTCTTGCCATTGTGTACGCAATGATAAAAAATAAAAAAAAGTCACGCTTTGCGTAGTTCGTCAAAGTTACGGTGTCATGTGATGCACATTGTCCTCCTATACTTTGACCTCCTGTAGCTACACCCTGACATTGTTCACCCTTTGTTTTGTTTATAGTTTATACTAACGGTACAGGTCACGTGATGAAGTCTGTTGCCCAATCCGCCAGCTGTTGAAAAACAGGTGATTCAAACCTGGAGATTATATATTTTGGCTGACCATGTGTGCCTCATCCCTCCTATTAAGTACACCACCCATTTCTCTACACCGCGCCTGTTCTTTCGCTTCTAGTTCTTGTTGCTGATACACAGTAGAGAACAGGTCACAGGAAGGACGCCGTGTGTGTGTGTGTGTTTTGTGTGTGTGTTTTGTGTGTGTGTGTGTGTGTGTGTGTGTGTGTGTGTGTGTGTGTGTGTGTGTGTGGAGACGGGAAAGCATTCGCAAAACGGATTCTGTTACATTTCTTTCTATAATTGATTCATTCAGTCCCCTCGCTGGCTTCAATAGGAAGTGACACTATCCCACCCAAGGGAGGAGAGCGCAGCGAATAAACTTTCTGACAAAGTTAGCAATATTGAGAAAGGATTGGCCAATTTCCCATGCATGTGCTCTGTGCGCTCCCAGGCTGTTTGTCAGTTGAATGGCCATTGTGATGGTGGGATTAGTGAATGAATGCCCTCTATGCCACTTTATATGGTTGTTGCTTGATACAGTACAATGGGTTTCTTTTATTAATTCATGCCATTTCAGCATTGCACAACTAATATTTATCCTTAATGAAAAAGATCACAGAAAACTGTCTCCCTGTGCGTGTGTGTGTGTGTGTGTGTGTGTGTGTCTCTCTCTCTCTCTCTCTTTTTGTTAATCACACCTCTGTTTGTTTGTTCTTGTGTGCTTCTCCAACACAGTCCACAATGCCTGCGGAGCCCCAGTCTGAATGCCGGCTCTGCGTTGGTGAATCGACGTTGGACATCTCGCAAAGCACCTTCAAAAAACCCTGACTGCTGGTGACAGCTTCCTCTCGGTATCACTCCCTGACATTTTCTGTGGCTACTTTCTCATCTCCTCTCTGGGAGGGGCAGGATATCTGCAGAGGTTAGAGAAACGCATGTAATGGGTTTAATGCAAGCATGTGTCCTGCTGGAGCTCACTTGAGTGAGGCACCAAATCCCCACCTGCTTTAGAAGTGCCTGGCACTGGACTTTGATCTCTCTGCAGATACGGGCCGTATTAAACGCAATCTCCCGGCCACAATCAAGTAATTATAGTTATACTTGTCAATTGATTGCTATATCTTCATCCAAAAAAAGACTGTGGCCCTAATTCCTGCTGACGCTCCTCCTTCCCCTTCGCTTGCCCAGTACCATGCTGGGCGCACTCCTGCGAAGGAATATGTCCCAGAAGTTGAGTGGGCTGCTGCTGGTGTTTGGCCTGGCGTGAGGATTTATGCTGCTGCGTTACACTGTGCAGCAGCCTCGCCATCAGAGCAGCGCCGAGCTACGTGAGCAGATCCTGGAGCTCAGCCGGCGCTACGTCAAGGTCCTGACGGAGGAGAACCAGCATGCACCAGGTGGGCTGCAGGGAACCTCCATGGCTGGATACGGTAAGGATTCAGGAGGACCTTGACACTGCCCTTTTCCCTGCACATTTAATAACTTACTCTTGAACTTTGTGTTTCAAAGTTATAAAACATAATTCTCAATCATTGATTACATTTATTCCTTATGTCGGTTTCTCTTTCCCTCTTGCATGCACCCACAGCTGATCTGAAGAGGACGATCGCTGTGCTACTGGATGACATTCTGACTCGATTGGTCAAACTGGAGGGGAAAATCGAGCTGGCGGTCAATGCCTCAACCACAAATACTTCTCACGCGGTAGGGGGCGTCCTTGCCTCCGCTCCCGCTGCCCTGCAAAAAACCTCGAAGCAGGACACACCTGGCAGTCACCCAGGAACCTCACGCCTCCACCCACGGATCCCTAATAGGCCTCGGCCACATCAGCTGGCATAGTCTTAGTAGAATCCATTCATTTTTTTTTCGCCTTTTAATTATTTTACACATCACACTTTCCCAGCAATTACAACTGATATTACCACATCAGACAAATGATAAGCAATAGGGAGACATGTAGACATCCAGAAACTGGGGATACTTCTCAGAAATGTTCAGCTAGCCAGAGAGGAGTCCTTATCCATGCTCTACATGCTGATATTTATTTATTTTTTACCAAGACTGTCTCGTGCATTTCTCTCAGATTTTCCATTGCTGATTGTTTTGGTTTTGGTTCAGATTCAAGGCCATATTTGAATCTTAGGACTTTATACGTAAAGGCAGAGGTATAAAAACTGATGAAGCTGAACCAGAGACTCATTTGTTTGCTGATAAACATGGCTTGAAACGTCCCACCTATCTACATTGGAATCTATTCTGCTTCAATATGTCAAAATGCTCAACTAAATGGTGCACTCATGATAGGTGGGGCAGCTGTTTTTGCTTTTTGTCCGTTTTTAGTTGGTGCAGTCGCTGATTGCTGTAAAAAGAACATTCTACTTTTAGCTTACACGTAGTCTTAAAGAAAATGTAACCGTATGGTTCCTCTGTAAGAGATAATCCAAAGAATGTTATTCGCACTCCATCTGCAGACAATTAGGTATTTACATTTGCTGCAAAGCAATTTAAGGTTTATGCAGAATATAATGGGAGGATGCCTTTTTGCCATTGTAAACACGAATGTGTGTATGATATGTCTGTCTCTCAGTTGAAATCCAATGGTTAACTTGCCGAGTGCTGATAAATGATTTTTAGTAGGTGTGTAGCACATTGAATGTACTTTGTAATCGGTCTTAAGCCCTTCAATGCTGTAAAGATGACTGATCTACTGCTTACACATGTTCAGGGTTCATATTGCACTGTGACTCATAAGAGATTTTCTAAAAATACTCGGCTCATCCAACTTTGACCTTAAGGGATATTTTAGGAAGATGGACGTCAGACTCTGAGATATTAGTTCTTGCAGCCTTCCCCTCTGGTTCTGAGTATGGTTTCCATTATACTGAGAAACACTGGCACCTGCCAAGAGGAACGTTTTTAGTTGGCACATTATGATGCGCATTAACGTAATGACTTTGCGACACAAAAGATAGACAAGAAATGTATGCGATAAAGTTGTTGTGGGGGGAAATGCTTTAAACCGTTGCTCTTTCATTACAGCCTTAAATATACATGAAGGCAAGACTGTGTCTGCTTTGACTAATGCTATAAATGTACTTTGCTTCAGAACATTAAAGTAGAGAAGTTGGTGAGCCGGATAGCTGCTGTGAGATAGCTTAACTAATAAATGGAACGTATGGGAAAAAATGATCCATCCTCATTTAAATCAATTTATTTGCTATAACAAAACTATTCCTTTTCCTCTGGAGATTGTGAATCTCACAAGACAATCACAATGTTAATAAGCACGTTGTTTGCAAAGAAAATATCCCTGTGTGTAAGTATAAGAGAATGCATGGGAAGTTTCACTTTTGAGGGTTTTGACTGTATTGCTCGTAAACGGGCGGAAGTTCGAAACGTTTTCGGCGCAATTACCAGACGTTCAAACCGGACGTGACGTCAGATTCTGCGGTTCATAAACACAGCACCAGCCTCACGCGCCCGCCATCTTCTAGCTAATAAACGGCCGAAATAAAACATTGAGCAAACCGCTGTTTATTTCTCTCGCAATACTCTGTCGTAATTGCTATTCCGAACCATGAGTGATATTGAGGACGGACACTATAAAGGACGGGTAAGCAGTTACATCGAATGATACCAAGTATCTCCCCTTTTTCTTCAAATGTCTTCCGTGTGACTGTCGACTAGCTTGAGGCGAACTCGCCACTACTGTAAAGCTAGCTGTTGTAACAGCTTTAGCGTCTGTCGTTGCATGCTTTGTCCGCTAACATTACACGTTTTGGACAGACACGCGGCAGATCTGTTGCTAGCGTAAGGTCTTGGCGAAAGCGACGCACGTTTCACACGGGCGGTTTTTGTCTGCTAACTAGCTTAGACCGCTCGAAACCGCCTCCACCATCGACAGTTAGCACGCTAGTGACTGTTAGCTTAACGACCCCCGCGGTGTAACGTTGCATCCGTGGATCCACGTCGGAACGTTGACTGTTTGCTTATTGTCTTGTTTTGCATTGTCCGCATAATGCTTGGCTCCTGACCCCTTTTTGCTTATGATATCATACACGAGGTATCTGACGCTTGCATATCGTCCTTTGTGCGGATATCCGCGCTGCAGCCATTACTGCATCTAGTTAGTAATCACTTCCTTTTACATGAGACTTCCAAAGCATCGCTTCCTTCCTTGCTCTCACGCTATTTTTCAAAATCAAATTTAGTATTGCTACAATATACGTCTACGCTTTTTTTATTCATAACATTTCAGCATACATTGTTTTATCTTTGCTCATTTACTCAATTTCTGAAATATTGATTTTTATTGTAGTTAAATGTAATTTACTGCATTCAGTGTTCATTTTCCTTTCATTTAAAATATTCTCCTTTTTTCTTAAAGCTATGATCTTAATTTTATTGAATGTTCTTTTTTCATTAAGGTAATTGACCGAGAAGGATTTGAAGAGTTTAATCCAAGAATGATGAAGAAAATGTTCAAGATAAAAGAAGGCTAATGAAAACATGTACAGAGCAGAACATAGACGTGGAAAGGGAGGAAATGTGACGGAAGAATGGTGTCAGATAGAAGCGCTTGCAGTATAATGGCTAAAATGAAACCGGTTTCAGTTTGGGGTGAAGAGAGAAAAAACTGACCTGGAATCAGAAAATGAGAAAACTGAAAAAAGAAGAACGAAGAAGGATAGAAATCCTGAGAAAAGGGAGTAGCGTGTAAAGAATCTGGAAGAATGAATGTGTCCGTAGGTTAAGTAAATATACTGTTTGTCACAAATGTTTTGACTTTACCATGTCCCTTTCATTTAACATGAGATGCATGTTTTATTTACCCTTGATGGTCCAGGTGGATATACAAATATATATATATATATATACACATTTTCTTTATATTTGATAACTATAGTTAATAGTAGGCCTCATTTTAAGCCAAAGATTAATTTATTGGAATTCTAAGATTACTAACCCCTTCTTCCACAGTACCTAAACTGTACTGTATGTGTCGAACATACTCTACCAGATCTCATTACGCTGTGTTTTTCAGTATATTTATACATGTATGTGTCCATGAGAAAGATGTTTACATACTGCTGTGGCAATAGGGGTCACGCTCCCCATCTAAATCGGATGGAGGGACTCCAGCTCGGGTCAAGTCGGAGAGCAGGTCCGGCTCCCCGAGCCCAGCCCGGGTCTCCAAGCGCTCTGGGTCCAGATCCCGGTCCAGATCCAGGTATGTTGTTGACATTTAATCATTGCCCATGTAAGAGTCGTATCATATTATTTGATGCTAGGTTAACCTACGGAATTTCACAGATAAGTTTTTTTCCCCGTTTTAAGATTTTGCCTTGCGTCAACAATTATTTCTGACATTGGCCTTTCTTCCTATGCCGCATTTTCAGGTCTCATTCCAGGCGACACTCCAACCGCCGCTATAGCCGCTCGCGTTCTCGGTCCTATTCCCAGCGGAAGAAGTCGCGCTCACGTTCCTACAGTACCGAGTACCGCCGCAAGAAGAGCCAGAGCACCTCTCCCGTTTCGAGCCGGCGCCGAAACACTGGCAGCAGGGTAAGTGAGGTCCGACAAAGTGGCAGCACAGTGAGCTATCTATTTTCCTTCAATTATGTAAAAAAAATTTTGTTTTGTTTTGAACAAATCCCAGAAGTTGGATCATTCAAAATGTATTCACTGTTATCATATGGGTTTGAGTGGAAATAGTACACAAACTTTGCAGGAATTATACGATTCTAGTGTTAGAGACCCTTTCTATTAACCATCCTTTCATTATACCTACAGAGCCATGACTTCCCAAAAGAAGCAAGCAATCATGGCGCCGATGCTGATGTGAGGGTAGGTGGACCCTCTTGTCTTATTTTGGGGGAAAAACAATGTAATGCTTGTATGTGTGGGTCAATGGTGCTGCTCCCTGTATAGTACTGGGTAAGAAGAGATAACCAAGTATTGGATCAAAAACAGATTTTATTCTGTGATCTGAATAGTATTTTTATTACATGAATATAGCATGTGGATACTTTGAGATGCAGTACATGCGTGTTTGCAATTTTCATGTGTTGTAGTAATGTCTTGTATGAGTTTCATCATGACAACTAGCAAATACATTGATACAAATATACTAATATGTTGTGTTTTCTATTTGGTCAAAGCCTGCAATCTGTACATGGATTCTTAGCTTTTTAGTTGTAACTCAAGAACTGTTGTCCGCCTCAAATTATAAGAGGAGGTTTCCAATGTGGTTGAAGAGTAATGCACCCTTCCAGTGAAACGGGGAAAACAAAACAAACTTCTAAATAAGTAACTCTAGGAGATATATATATATATATATATATATTTTTTTACTGCTTTGGAGAGAGCGATGCGGTAAACCTCACTAACTCTACAAACTATGTCCTCCCTTCCAGGCCAACCCTGACCCCAGCACATGTTTGGGAGTGTTTGGCTTGAGCTTGTACACGACGGAGCGGGACCTGAGGGAGGTGTTTTCTCGCTACGGCCATCTGGCCGGGGTCAATGTGGTGTACGACCAGCGCACGGGACGCTCCCGCGGCTTTGCTTTTGTTTACTTCGAAAGAATTGATGATTCTAAAGAGGTAAATGTTTGGCATAAAATGGCATCATGGTCTCGGATGCTTGTTCAACGTCTGGTCATCTTCACTTGGGTTCTTCATCGTAAATCATTAATATTGCGTAATGTTTTGTTGTTTACTGACACATTTTTAGATCATTCAAACTGTTCCACGTACAGATATGGTCGACTACATATTATTTGGGACTTCATAGATGTGAGTTCTGCATCAAAGGTCCACTGCCATTTGATTTGAGGTGTGATTACACGAGAAAGCCACTAGGTGTCTGCCTCGCCACCGTTTCTCTGACCTTGCAGTCGTGCACTTATTAACAGGAGGGATTACGATGTAGGTGGGCCATTGTGAAATAAAGGATACGGTCCAGAAGGTGACGGTCTGATAACATCTTGGTCCTCTTCTTCCTTTTGCGTCCCTCAGGCAATGGAGCGAGCCAATGGCATGGAGCTGGACGGGAGACGCATCAGAGTGGACTATTCCATTACTAAACGTGCTCACACCCCCACGCCAGGAATCTACATGGGCCGACCAACTCAGTAAGAGCAACATTATTCAAATATCACGTTTTTAACTTTGTGGCGTTCAAAATTCATCTTGTGGTGGAAATCCCTGCAAGGCACAAATACACATTTGGGCCATTTAGGATAATTTGTGAATCTGTGCTTCATTTCTTGATCCATGTCATGTCATTTGTCCAAATTTAAATCATTTTCGACACGGTGCCCTGTTTCTTAAGAGATGGGACGTCTTCTTCGTTCCACAGCAATGGTGGTGGCGGCGGCGAAAGGAGCGGCGGTGGAGAAAGGAGTGGTGGCGGCGGCGGTGGCAGGAGGGGGAGAGACAATCATTACGACCGGGGTTATGAGCGCTACGACAGATATGACGAGTACGACTACAGGTACAGGTGAGTAATGGTTTCTGCATAGAATGTTAATGTTGGCTTGTGGCGGATGCATTTTAAAACCGTTGTGTGTCTTCAGCCGCAGGCGCTCCCCGTCTCCCTACTACAGCCGCTACAGGTCTCGCTCGCGGTCTCGCTCCTACAGCCCACGTAAGTATGACGCAAATGCATCCAATAGAAAGCTCACCTAACTGCATCCTGTTAGTATGCACATTCAAACAGACGCATCTTCATCACTAGTGGAAGCAGATTAACTGTTAGTAATCGATCGTGACTAATTCATATTTTCTTTTCGCAGGGCGGTACTAGGTTTCTGCTTTCGACCTTCAGCGTCCCTCCAATAATTGATCTGTGTGTGTGCGCGTGTGTCTCATCAAGGTGTTTCTAACGGGAACCGCTTGAATCAGCATGTCTATCAACAGAACTCTAAAGTTTGAGATTTTTCTTGTTTACATGCAATAGATGTCTTCATTTTTAGACGTTTTGATGCATCCGTGTTGAGCGTGAGCAACGAACTCTTGCTTCATCCTTAGACTCGCACCCTTCCTTCCACCTTCACTTTCTGCAGCAAAGCAACCTCTTTTTCCTGTTGTGTGATCGCCGCTAACGTGGCCCTTGTCATGGTGGAGAAAGTAAACTGGGTTTTTGTAAATAATGGTGAAGTTAATTTTACAACTTGTTGGAAGTCAATGGAACAGTCCACTCTGTTAAGATCACCGATTGATCTTTGCTGGTAAGTAGCAGGTGATTGAGGCCATTAGTAGTTCTTTGCGCTCTTTTTTTTTTTTTTTTTTTTTTTTAAGTCAAGGAAGTCATCATTTGAATTTCTGTAGTTTTATTACAATGTACTACCTTTTTTATTGTTTGTTTGTATGGAAATACAAATATATGAAAACTCAATTTTTTGTGTTTTTGTGGTTAATGCGCGTGAATTGTATGTTGAGCCTTTTTGTCGTGTAGGTGGGAGGTCGGGCTTTAAGTTGAGTGGGAAAACAAGCTGTGTGACTTTCACGGAACAAGAAAACAAGCATGATCAAGTTTATGTTCACACTAATTTAAAGTAGCTGATCTGGAGCCACTTTCTACAAACCACTAAACCCCAGTGCACACATGTGACCGAGCTTTTACTGGGTGGCTTTTGTTGCATAAGATACAAAGTTCACATGTGAGAAACGTGCTCTAGTTCAAAGTGTTTAACAAAAAGCTTGCAGATTGCATGAACGCATGATCAGTATTTGTTCCTTGACGATATAGATGCTCGTGGTTAAGGACTTTTTATCTCTAGACTTAAATAAAAAGTCACTGACTGGATACGAGGCCCCTCAGTTATCTGTTCATTCACACGAGTGCAGAGGTAATTCTCAAGGTGACTCCCTGGACCAACTAAGGTCAAAGTGTGAGATTCAACCCTGGAAGCTGTGGATTGTGCAGTGTGCTCATTTTTTTTTATGTTCAGTGCTATCACTAGTATTCCTTCAGAAACTTTTTTCTGTAATAAGTTTGTTATAAAAGTTGATGGGGGGGGGGGGCGTCCACCGATTTAACGTAGACTTGTTTTTTGCTCTACAATATAGCCGATTTCGGTTATGTTGTGACGTGCACATGTCTGTCTCCATTAGGGAAGAGCTTCATGTTGTTGTGCGTGCATGAAGCAACAGCTCACTTGACGAGTACTTGAACTCTAACCTTCGGATAGCACACGTTGGGTTCTAGACCAGAGGAAGTAGTCCACATCTAATGTACCTCACGGCAAACAAAAGGAGCCCTTTCGTTGTTGCTCTCCTGGGGACGTGCATTTTAGTGCTACAGCAAAGCTTTAATGTGTGTTCACTCCACAGGAAGAGACATTGACAGCACGTGTCAAGAGTTGTGATGTAAATGTTTCAAAGAAATGCCACCTGAGCCGTTTCATTATTTTACTTTGGGGAAATCAAGTTTCGGATCATGTGTCTGTAGAAGTTTTTTTTTATTTTTTATTTTTTTTTGGAGGATTTGTATTTAAGAGTATACTAAAATGATCAATATTTTGCATGTGTACAGCGGAAAAGGAAGTTATTTTCACACAGCATTTTCAATCCAAATCAATTTATAATTACTTCCATGCAGTCAAATATATATTTTAAACAAACTTTACCTTTTGAGAGAATGCATGTATCATTGCAGTGAGCAAATCACACACCTTATTTTTCGCAATTTACAAGTGTTAAAACTGTGAAGACACCATTTCATGTTTCCTGTTAACAAGATATTGAATAAATAATGCTTCTGAGTTGTTTCAAGTGGTTTTCTCCACACAATATGGCAACTAATGAATCTGTGCTGAAACTACAAACACTGCAGCCATAAATAAATCATTTGAGGGACAAAAATACAGAAGATGCCGTATGTGAACAAGTCTGCAATAATGTGACTGCATGAAAACCACTAAACCGACTCATGTGCTCAAAATCAAAATGATCACATGCTCAACAGCTATTCAATGAGTCCTCACAAATCAACAGTTTATTAGGACCATATTTTTATTTATTTTTAAATGAGAAATAGCTTGTTTTATTCTATTTCTTTAAAACACACTGCAGTGGACAGAATTGAATCAAACATTTGAGGAAAATATTTAAAAAACAAGGACGGTTGTGAAAGAACACGATAAGATGAGGCGCATGTGTCTGGCTGCTTTTAATAACTTGTTTTGAACAAAACACCACAGCAAATACTTCCTTCAAAATATCCACACATTTAAATAATATCTAACTACATCTAGATTAGGTCAACTTTTTAAAACAAACTCAGGATTTGGCTTTTGTTTTGAAAAAAAAAAACTACGTGACGAGAAAACGAAAAGCTTCAGTTTCTGCCCCCGTATTATCTTTTTATGAATATCAAAGATTACAGCTTAAACATATGTAACCTTTTGCCACCTCACCAGTACGTTTTCACTCGTTATTTTGGCCTGTTTAAAAAAAAAAAGGAATCCTCTCTGGCTGTGAAGGGGCACACACCGCCATTTTCTAATGAGATGAAGGGTGTCATCACACAGGAGAAAACACACCCATTCGTGTGTGTTGAAGCCTGCGTGAGTCTCCTTGGCGTGAATAGAAAAAAACATAAATCCAGACCGTTTTAATTCAAACACAATGGCTTTAACGCCGATAGATACATTGTTTGCAATAGATAGAAATGGAACTGTGAGGCTCTCTGGCTTCTCAACATGGCGTTCGTGCCACTGAGCCGCCTGTCTGTCCGTCTGTCTGTCCGTCTGTCCGTCCGCAGCGGTCAGCCTGTACATTCCACGCGCACAACTCAAAGAGGAGAGAACATAATAATTAAACAAAAATATAAAGCAATCTCACCGGAAGAGCGAATCCCCTCGATTGGGTGTAGAGGGGGCTGTGAAGGAACCATCTCTTGCGTTTTTACTCAAGTAATCTACCTTCTCTGCTCTGAAAACATCCCAGATTATGTTGAAACCGGATCGATTCGATCTGTTCTTTTCTTGTTGTCGTTATATAAATCTGTATATATATATATATATACACACACACACACCCTGTGCTGACATTCACCGCAGAACCCTTCCCACATAGGATGCAGTCTAGTCTGAAACTTTATGTCAGTTGGCCCCCTATGGAATTCAACCGCAGCGAGGAGCCCTGAAAGCTGGGGGGGCGGGGAGACTTTCTGTACATTCCTCAGCGATACATTCACTATTCCTCCTGCAGAGGCTGCAACCGCACACACGCGCGCGCGCCCACACACTCGCGCACTTATCCACACACACACACACACACACACACACACAGACGGACAGGCTGCAGCCATGCATCAGCAGCTCATTTAAACCGACACAGTCCGCCGAGCGCTCACATGACCGCCGTCCCTTTATATGCGTACAAGTCCGCGGCTCTGCGCGGCGGGACCCCCGCCCCTCGTTTCGTTAGTTTATATCCAGTGGAAATGGTTAAGAATGATAAACTAGGTTAGACAAAATTGTACGCGCCTGACCAGGCCAACGGAAAGCCTCCTTGGTTAATACGTTCCTTACATTTATCCATGCAAAAAAAAAAAAAAAAGACACAGGCCTTTGTGAAACAAACCACCCTTCGGGAGGCTGAAACAATTTAAAAAACGATTTAAATTCCGCATACGGTGCCCTAAAGTGGACATTTAAACGCTATATTTTATTCCCTTTAAATGCAACTTGTTTATATGAGTGGCCCACGAACGTAAACACAAACTGAACTACGTGAAAAGTTGTTAAAAGACTTCTAAAAAATAAATGGCCGCTTGTTTGCGTTTCGCTCAAATCTTTACGGCTCGTGACGAAACCCAGCAGAGGAAACACGGGGAGAAAAAGCATAACTGGCGCGCTGATTCATATAGAATAGTGGAGCCGGGGAGCCAATGAATGAGCGCGTTGAGGCCGTGCCAGCAGCAGTACTACGGCAGCGGGGGCTGCGGCTCCCCGATTGGACGGCCGTCCTGACCAATCACGGAGCTCGGTGTGTTTGCTCAACAGCACGGGAGCAAACCCGCCGAAGACGATCCATGGCCCCGGCCCGAGCACAGAGGCTGAGGGGCCCACTAAACCAACAGTCCCCTTGTGACCTGCTCTCCACGAGCCCGCACGCCCACGGCGGCCCGTTCGGCGGCAAACAGTGCGGGCACCTATCGGTGCAGCTCAACGCATGGCTCCTCAAACCCGGGAGGCACTGCAGGGTGCAGCCTCCAGGATTTAGTTTTCCCAGAGTTTGTTTTTGTTCAAAATACAGCTGTTCACAGGGTAAAGAACTCAGTGAATAATAGCATATGTAGGATATTAGAAACAAAAATACGACCCGGTTCATAAAATTAATAAAAATGCATATAGTGTACACCAGAATACAGCCATGATTCTGAAAACTGTAATCAATAAAGTAATGTCAATATTGTAAAACCACTGTAATTCTGCAACTGTAATAGAATAATACCAATTTACAGTTATGATTGTATTTGATGTAATGTAATCAACTGGAATGCATGCATGTAATACTTGAACAACAACTGATATTGACTAAGGATCATTCGAAATCCGAGTTACATTGAACTCACCAGAAGGCCACTCCCAGAGGTGTGGACACTGACTTTCACACCTTTAAGCATTGTAATAAATACCTGTAGGAACCATTGTTCTGGAGTTCGCTGGTGGAGGCGACAGACGGGCACTAGGGATGGTCAAAGGACTGACCTGAGGCCTGTTGGTTGCTGAGACCAGCGGCTCCTCAGCTGAGATGTTCTTTTTACCGCAACGCCATCTCTTTTATTAAATACATTTGATTTTAACCTTTTGATCAGCGATGACCTCTGTCCGTCCGGCGTTTCTTCATTTTTGAACACAACACATACATGTAGGTTGTCATGGGAAATGCTAAATATGATCGATTCACTGGAACAGTTTACATTGTTACTCTTAGGCAACGCATATTGGCCAGTTTTTAAATGTACGTTTACTTGTACTGTATCCTCAGATCTCTGGTCTGCTGCTTTTGGGATTCAACTTTACCTTTAGGCTTATGAAAGTGCTTATTATAGACAGATAATGGGGGTACACACATTTTAAACTGTTGCAATCTAATGCATAAATTCACCCTCATCAAGTTTTAAAAGTTGAGTTTGGTTTTGATTTAGACGCTGATTCAACTGTGGCGCTCGCTGGTCAAGTAGTTACGTTGCCCTTGAATTATATCCTGATACAGTATTCTCCACATTTCTAATATTTCCTCCGCCTAAGACTAAATGTTAGAAATACCACACAGAATCACACAATGCAGGTCAATCACACTGCTAACTGCTGCTTCTAAAAGGTCCACGAATTGTAATAAAAATCTCTCCTAACTAAACAATAACTGAACACCGTGACATCTACAAAAGGTTTTGCAGGTGCAATACAGGACATGTTGGATTACTGCATTCGACAGACATTTTCCTTTGGAATGCCAGACTAGAACAAGGTGCAGATCTGGTATCACACAGTCCCATCAACAGGTAACGTTGCTCTCAGCTATGCAATTGTCCTGTAAATTCAGCTAGCTGGGACGCTGGGGGCACTTTATGTAGGAGACCCCTCCCTCTCTCGGTGAATGCAGATCCGAGCGACAGCAGAGAGGAACTCGCCATGTGCACACGGCCAACGCCTCCACGCATAGTGCCAAACGGTCTGAAAGTGGGAAGAGCCCCCCATCTCACCCAAAATACGTCCCACGTCCCAATGTAATGTTGTGTGGCCACGGCCGGATCGGGCCCGCTGTTGGACCTCGAGGCGCGGATCAGGGAGGGCACGGCTCCACTCTCGCAGGAGAAAAGATGGATGCCGTCCCGTGTGTGGGGGGGTGTTTGTAGTACGTGTCACTCCCTTCACTTTGCACGAGGGCCCAGATGAGCGGCGCTGGGCACTTCGCTGGTTTCTAAATATCAAATGTGTCCGGAGGGCGATTTAACAATAAAAGTGCAACATCATTCATACGTGGTGGCCCCTCCCCGTGCCATTAGTGCAGCGCACTTAACACAGCCGTGCGCACAAGAACCGCCGCAATATCAGCGTCGTTCGTGCTGTGGGCGTGCGTTGGCGCACTGTCGTTTTACTATTCCTCACCGACCAATGAGAGCGGAGGCTTGACAAGAGAAAGGCACACGAACGTGATTCTAGTAAAAGGACGCATCGGGTTCTCGCGGAATCCCTTTACGCACAGAGCTCGCCAGGTTTTTCTTCACACCGATCCACTCTTCCCCTCCTTTTTTTTTATTTTAAATCCACTCCCCTTACGCTGTCCCCACCTAAGATTCCGGTGCAATTCCCCCCCATTCCCAAACACTTAATTGAGCAATTTGGGATTCCTCACGTGTGGGCTGATTTGTAGTTTGAACACGTGGCTCATTCAAAAAAAAAAAAAAAAGCCGGAATAACGGAGGATTTTTTTTTCACCCCCCCTCTTCTTCCTCTTCTCATTCTAGGTTGTAGACTCAGAGGCGGGCGCCAACCTCACCGTGTGTGACATTCTCTGTCTCTTTGCCAACGGGGGGGGGGGGTTCGGAGGAAGACGCAAAGTAGTTTCTCCTCCTTTTTTCTTCTTCCTTCTCCTCCTCACCCAGCGCGCCATCGTTTGGAGACACGAGATTAATAATTGAGCGTTTATTTATTGCGCGATAAAGACGGACGGACGGGGCGAGGGAGCGCGAGCGAGCCAGCGAACGCGCACTGCCAGTTTCAATCCACGGGAAGCACGACACGGTCGCTCCGGAGTAGTAGTAGTGGTAGTAAAGAAGATTTTTTTTTTTTTTTGGGAGGGGGGGTTAGTCTACTCCAAAGACTGCACATCCTGCGAGAGGGCAAGTAACTATCGCTCCCACTCCCTCGGCGTGAAGATCGTCTCCCCCTCCCTTCCCCTCCCTGAACCACGGCGCAGAACATGAATAAGCTGTACATTGGCAACGTGAGCGCCGAGGCGAGCGAAGAGGACTTCGAAACTATCTTTGAGCAGTGGAAGATCCCGCACAGTGGTCCGTTTCTTGTCAAAACTGGCTATGCGTTTGTGGATTGCCCCGACGAGAAAGCTGCGATGAAGGCCATTGATGTTCTTTCAGGTGAGCATTCTTTTTTTTTTTTGAGTGAGTGAGTGAGGGGGGGGTACATGTTGGGAACGCTCAAAGAAACTGCTGTAATTGTGTGAAGATTTGCCTTTACTTGACTCCTGTAGAGTGTGTGTGTGTGTGTGTGTGTGTGTATGGGGGGGGGGGGGTAACCAAGCGTTTTTCTCTCTCACAACCTTAACTTGGCCTTTTGACACGGTGTGCTCACACAAATCCACGGGTTTGAATGTAATTTCCCAGAGAAGTAGCTTTTGATCCATTTACACATTTAATAAAATAAATAAATTAAAGGTGGCGTGAACACGGTCACGAGGAGGAGAAATGCCAAAGCTGCTGCCGCTACGTGCCCGTTGCGAGCTGTGGACGCCGTGAAGTGAACCGTGTTTATCGCGGTGCTTCATCACACAAGGCCACTTTGGCAACATTTTAGGAGCAGTATTCGTGGTGCTTTAAAAAAAAATAAAAAATTAATAATTTAAAGTTCCACTATCGGGCCGGCTTCTTTTAAACCTGTAGGCCTTCTCCAGTGGCCACAACTCCTCCCGGCGTTGTGAGGCCATTTTTTTTTCTCTCTCGCCCATGCTGACACACCAGGTGGTTTTAATTGCGCTGGTCAAATGTAGGCCAAGTCCCTGACGCCACACGTCCATGTGTTCTCCACCTCGTCCAGTGGCTTGTTGTTGAATCAAAGCTAGGCCTGCTCTCAAAATGGGACACGTCGTTCTTCTTCTTCCAGCTCGTATCATCTCACGTATTGAGCTGGTGCCCGTGTGCTCGTGCATGTCGCCATTATCACAACACGATGTAAATATTGGGGGGACCGTGTCGTGCACGTATGCCTGGTGGAGGTGTTGGGCCTGTGCACGAAAAGAGTCGTAAACACTGAGTCTAAACTGTTGGAGAGGTCAAGTTATTAAATGACACTCGTGGTTCTGTTTTTTGTTTTTTTTAGGTAAAGTTGAACTTCATGGGAAACTTCTCGAAGTGGAGCACTCGGTCCCTAAACGTCAACGGTAAGTTCCGTTTTTTAAATACGTTTCTGTGTATATACATGTTTGTGGGTTATTGCCCCTTGATTCAACTAGTTTGTTTTTATTTTTTACTCCAGACTAATTTTATTCCAAATGCTCTTCATGTATACCAAGAAATATCTGCTGTAAATGTAAACGTTGAATGTTGATACGGCGATTTCCGTGTTGGGTGATTGAAGTGTCCTTCTTCTTCTCGTTCTGAATGCTCTGGGGGTCATGTGAAGGGGGCGTATGGTGGTGGAGCCCACTCCCTCCTTTCGCCATGACACTAGCAGTAGGGCGCTGCACATACAACCCCAGTGGATTTGTGCCCTTGTTGTGTTGTTTGTTCTTCCCTGCAAATGCTTTAGTTTCTCGCGATGTGCATTTAGTTTGAATACACACACCTACACGCTGTGTGGTTTTTTATTTTTTATTTTGAGGTTGCAGCTTCAGGGCGATTAGTCAAAGCCCGATTGGCTGCTTAGACCGTGCTTTGCCGGCTGCGCTGCGAGGCGCGCGGGCCTTGTGGAGTCGTCCATTTGAGAAGGATATGCCCGTCATTCGCTCTCTGTGCGCGCTTCCGCGCTCCGCATTGTGCTGCTGTTGCATGAGATGGACTCCCAAAACGCGCTAGTGCGCGCTCAAAATCACCGAAACCATAGTTTTCAACATACACACACACACACACACTCGTTTAGCCTGTGAACGACACCCACATGCGTAAATATTTTCAACCGCAATTGTGGGGCGATTCCAGGGGGGGGGGGGGGGGGGGTTGTTAGCGTTTGACGCAATTCCGTCGTAATTAATCGTTTTTTTTTTAAATTGCCCTCGATTGCTAATTGTTGCGATTTAGAATAACCGTTCCACGTCACGTGCATGGTTTAGCCCCCCCCTTTTTTAAAGTTTCCTTGAGAGATCTGCGGTGTTGAGTTCAAAATACATTTGCAAGCAGAAATTACGAGATGAAACGTGAAGGCGTTTCAATAATTATACGCAAAATACATTTTGGGGAAAAGGGCGTGGAGGTTGAAAAAGCATCACGCAGGGCTTTAAAAAACAACTTTTAAAATATACATGAACTGTATTTTTTTCCCCTCCCCTGGCTGTAAGTGTAAATTGTATTTTTGATTAGCCAGGTGAGCTGCATGGGAGGGGGAGGCAAAAGGGGGGTGTTGCTGTGTCCCTCAGCTTTTCAGTCGTCCACATTTTCCTGATCACAAAAAAAAGCGACTACTTTTCTGTGTTTGAGTGCAGCCCGTGATGGCAGCAACGGAGTCGCGTTTCAGCCACAAAGTAAAACGTGCCTTCCCTTTACAGCATGGGACATGGCAGCAGTCAATGGGAACAGTATTCTGGCTATAGGCTGCTCACACTTGGGACATTTCTCCCCCCTCCCTCTCTTTGCATTCCTAACCTGCAAATATCAACTGGGGGATGGGCCAATCACTGTGGCTTAACCTTTGAACCCACCAGCAAAGGGGAAGTGCTGCAGCAGCCAGAGATCAAGAGGGGGGGTGGGGGGCGGCGGCAACGGTTTGGTGGTCATGAGATAAAAATGTAAAGGGTGCCATGCATAGTGGAGATTCCCTGTTGGGTAAAACATTGTGCAAACGAGAATCCAAAATTGGTTTAGCCAAAAGCGGTTAGATAAAATGTTACTATAAAACATCTTATCAATAACAAGAATATATACATCTGCCATAGTATTCTATACAGGGTCATTTAGTTATTAAATATTTTGGACAATTCACTTCCCAGCTTTTGAAATGTGTTTCATTTTTTTCTGGTCCACCCACCCGTTCTTAACATTTTGACTTTTAGAATCGTACAGGTGTACTTGCATTTTGGGGAAAATGGCTATATTGTTCACAATTGACAATTCTATTTTTACTTTTGATTCTTATGAATTGCTGGTTGGTGCCACGGAGCCATTTTTATTTTCTGCCAACGGCTGCTAATTTAATGGGTTGTTTTTTTTGGTTTAAATACGCTTCACTCCAACTATTTGAAGTAACTCTTAATTGTAAGCCCAACTGGGTTATTGTTTTCACCAGCTTGAAATCCTTGGTTAGATCTTATTGGGTAAATTGTACATTAAATTAGATGTCGCTTGCCCATCTCCATGTGAACAGACGGAAGGAACATGGTGGATAATACACATAGCGTAGCATTTATCCTCAGTTAGTGGTGTAACTTTGTACTTTAAGTGGTGTATCCTTTTTTGGGCTCTTTTTTTTTTTCTTCTTTTGAACCAATCATTAAAAACAAAAAAACAAACTAAGTAATTTGGGACATTGGTGTAGATCGTATAAGGGCTGTTTGCAGAAATATCCCCTGTCTCTCATTACAAGAATTCTGGGTCATGGGGTCATTTCGGGGGGCCCCCCACCTGCAAAAAAACTGGGATTCGGGACGGAAACTCGGGGTGCCAGAGAATAATGAATGTGGCCCCTTGTTTTACCAGACTGCGAGCAAAGGATCCTTAACTCTCCATCCTGCAAGGCTCCAAACAGAGTGACGCTGCAATTTTTCTAGTCCATAAACGTATATAAATTATATAGCTGGGAGGAAGACGCTTGAGTGAGTGTTTTCAGAAGTTGAGTGATTTCTTACTGATATCCACCTCCATTAGAAATCAGTTTGAGAATCGTGTGTGTGTGTGTGTGTCGTAGGGCAGCCAGAAACCAGTCTGCTTGGAGTTCGGTCATTTAGAATCTCTACAGCTGGGAAGTCGATGGCTGTGGACGGGCATTGAATACAGGCCCTGTGTGTCCCACACCGTCTCACGTTGACGTTCTCGGTGCCTGTATGTGATTAAGAGGTGGAGGTGAATACAGGCGGAGGTGTACTCTGTTGGGCGGCGACTCAATGGGCAAAACCTGGAAAATTGTCTTTTTAAATTAAAGAGAAAAAGTGAATATTTGCCTCCTTCAGGCCATCACATGACGAGCCAACGCCAGTCACTCCTTCCCTCCCCCTCCCACTTTTACCCTGCTCTACATGTTCCCGTCAGTGGACTTGTCAGTGTCCATGGCGACGGGGCCCCACCCCCACAGGGCAGAGAGGGCCCTTGTTACCCTTGCCTGAACCCCCCCCCCCCCCTCCCCCACCAAAGCACCACTCTCACCTCCCCTCCCCAAATCAAAGGCTCGGACTGGGGAATGTATACCACCCCCCACCCAATACCCAGGCTCCCTTCTTGTGTGTGTGGCTATAGGTTAATCCGACTGGAAGTGCTCGGTGCATTTGCACATTTTGCACGGCGTTCCCGCCGCAATGCAGAGCATACAGAATGTGTGTGTGTGTGTGTGTGTGGGGGGGGCAGATCAGCCAGGAATGGCCCCGTGGGCTGGAATCCCTCTTCAACGTTATTAGTGAATTTTCACTAAAATTTCACCTTCAGCTTGATTAGCTTGATTTGTGGTCTCAGCGGCTAAGCAGAAGCGTTTCGGCCACTGCGGCCGTGCAGTAGGTTTCACGGCGTAGATGAGGTGTGTCCGAGCACACAACACCCCCTCCGCCCTCTTTGTGGCTTCATATAAAAAGTGTGATTTTTAAAATGATGCATGTGGTAAACGTGTTCTCTACACAGAAAACAACCACATGCAACAAAGCTGTTTGTACAAGTGGATGAGCAGCGTTCAGGCCTCCTTTAACCAGCTCATTGGCTCTTATAGAGAGATGTGTGTTTGTGTGTGCGCCTTTTCTACACAGAAGACAGGAAATGGTCTGCAAACACGTCCAGTTATAACCGACCAGCAGCACATGCATCGGGTTTGAGCGTGGGGCCGGTGTGGAAATGGCTTGGGGGTGGGGTGGGGTGGGGTCAGGGTTTGTGATTCCACATTGTGTGAGCGTGTTTGCGCTTCAGCTCCCGGCCGTGTGTACGTAGTGTTCCTTTAGGTCGCTGCGTATCAACAGGCTGTGAACTTTGGAGTGGCCATTTTCTGTGTGCCACATGCGTGCGGACTCTTGCGAAACTCTTTGACTCATCGATCCACGTGCCTCGTCGTCTGCGTTAAACTGCCACTCGTGGCCCAGGGCCCCCTCCCCGCTGTACACGCCGTTTGGGGCACCTTCAAAGCTAAAAGGCCACCTTGGGGGTCTTGGCGTCGCTGGTTTTTGTTCCCGGGCGGCGGCCCACAGCGGCGCCATTGTGACTGCTGGTCTCCCGCCTGCTTCTGCTGCATGCGCGAACCAGAACGCGGTTCGGAGGCTCCTTCTTGGTTCCTGTTTCACTACCTGCGGCACCACTCCCGCCCCCCCCCACCCTTCCTCCCCATGCTCATGGGCGTGTTGGAAGTGGCTGTTTTAGGGCGGGAGACTTGCAGTGGTTAAATCGTCATTATGCTACGCTGCGTGGCCTCGAGCTGTGTACACAAGACGTTCGAGTGCATCTTCACCTTTCCAATCGCACCCCCCCCCCCCCCCACCCACACACACACCCCTCCTCTGCGCTCCTCCTGTTGATGCTTCTTTCGACCACTTCACAATCTGGCCCCTCTCCCAATTCTCGTTCTTTGCACTCTGGTGTTTTGGGATGGGGGGCGTGGTGCGTTTTAGGGTAATTTTTTAATCTTGTGCCCCTCCAACTCAATTTAGGCCACCCAGTGTTGATTCCAAATCACTCTTTTGCCCGCTCCATCTCCATCACTTTCTCCCACGTGTTCCTCTGGTTCTCTCTGTGCACCTGCTGGGCTGTGAATGGAATTAAATTGGAAGTTGTATCTGCAGCTTTCAGCCCTCTCGCTCGCTCTCGCCTGACGGTGGAGGGAATGAAGACCAACTGTGTTTTTGTTAAATGAACTTCTTGTGTCATTGTACTCTTAGTATTGTCAGCAACTAAGTGTCTCTCTCCTCGCTTCCCCATCTTCCTCCATCAATTACTTTCGCTTCCTTTACCCCTTTTCTGCTTTGTTCTCTCTCTCCCTCTCTTCAGGAGCTGTAAGCTGCAGATCAGGAACATCCCGCCTCACATGCAGTGGGAGGTGAGTGCTAACTGCTTCTGGGTCCCATCAGGAAGCCCGTACGGGCTTTCTGTTAAGCCTCTGGACTCACCGGGCCTCCGTTTTTTTTGGGTTTCAATTAAGAATGCGCTTCATGGTCCATTTGAACGGGGCTAAAAGGCACGGGAACGTATTCAAAGCCGGGATAGGTGGTCACAGGTTTGAAGAGCGAGATCTCGTCATGTGGTTTGGCTGGTTGTGTCCTGCAAGGCGCCTTTAAGCAGCAACATGAGCTCCATATTGCATGTTTTGAAAACAATTGTGAAGTAGCTTGCTGTTTGATTCTTGGACTACTCAAGATGTGGTTAATATGGTGAACTGTAATTCATTGTTTAATGATTGTTTTCAAACTGATCACACATCCTAGTTTAAAGGATGCCTTGCCACGCACGCACGCACGCACACACACACACACACCATGGGGGTTTTCTAAAAAAAGTAGCTTTTTTTATTGTGAAACATTCTTAAATCAGTTTGTGGCCCTATCTAACCACGCCTGATAATCCTTTATAGATTATGGGGTATTAGGAAGATCCACTAATTTTAAGTTTTCTGTTTTTCATTTGCTAAATTAGGTCTGTGTGTATCACAACCACACACTTTTGCTTAAAGGGCCACATAAATGTTTCGTTAATGTTGTGCAGGGTGAAGAAAATAGAAAAAGCACCTGTACAATTAAGTGGAATTCATTTAGTCACAGATCTTGCAACAGGCACAAAATTAGGGTTGCCAAAAAGATTCTTTGTCAACGGAGTTTCTCAACAGGAAATCACGAGAGCCACTTTAAAACCTGTGCTTACCCGCAATGTGTCCATGAGCCCATGAGAAATAACCCAAAAAGAAAAGCGTTTCTAATTGACTTCAGAAATCTGAGGGTACAAAGACCAAAGTGACTCATTAAATGTATTGCATCTGTGAAGATTCGGTGGTGTTCTAATATAAGGACGTTGTTTATGGTGTCCGACTATATTGTGGTAAAACTAACAATCCATCACCTCAAATTACTGTGAACTCCTGACTTGACTAACTTGTCAGATGCCGTACAATAAGTCTGAAATAAGTGTTTTAAAAAATATTTATGTATCAGGTTATACATTTAAGAAATTAGGTTAAATAAGAATTCAGAGCATGGTCAGTTTTACATTTGAGTTAAAATGGAATTTTCTTCAGCAGTTGAGTCTTTTTGGTGAAATATGAGATTCAAGCTTACATAAACGTCTGCCTGGTTCCCTTTTTGTGCGTGCATGCATAAAATAGAAAAGTTGTAATACAGCATTTTTCTGTCATGATTGTCACCACTGCCACACACAAATACGTAATGCAATCATTTTTAATCAGTGGGCCATATGATCACTATTGTTACTTCCTGAGAGGGTGACTCAACATTTGTTTAGATGATTTGCACTTCAAATCGTAAATGCAATCCATCTGTCACATTAGGGTTTAATGGGTGAAAAAGAGGCCATCTGAAAATATCAAGAGAAATAATGAGCTGTAATTCAGTCAGATTTCAGTGCCACTGCCTGAGAGGGGGGGCGGAGGGGGAGATCGAGTGTGTGTGTGTGTGTGTGTGTGTGTCGGTGCGAGTCTATTTTTCTCTTAAGCGTTTAATAAAAAATTGTTTGTTCAGTGTCTCCTACAAATTCTACTGATTCCGCATTAACCGGCCGCGCACCTGCAAATTTATCTCTTCTTTGATTTCAGCATTTAAAAATTTGAATGTTGAATTTCACTCTGGCTTTATTTGTTATAATTATGTGTCCCGCTCAAGATCTCATGTGGCAGTAACTCAGCCATACGTGACTTAAAAAAAAAAAATCATTCATGTCTGATTGGCGTGTGCCTGTAGCTTTGTACAGTTTTAATTCTCCGCTCCATAAATGCTAATGAGAACCACGCTTGAATGTTTCAACACTCCAAATGTTCAAGTCATCAGATCTCAGCCGGATTCCCCGTGTGACCAAACTGCTCGCTGACAGGCCCGGTGGTTTTTGTAACGGTGCTATTGCTTTGCCTACGCATGTCCCTCAACTGAAACTCCGGATCCACCCCGTGTTCCCTGCGTGCAGCGAAAAGGTGACATGGCGGTTTCCCTCCCCCGGATGGAGGAGGGGGGAAGGGTTCGAAGAATGGCCGAACAGAGTAGAATGGGATAATTTGCTGCTACGGCCTTGTATCAGTCTTATCAGGCTGATAAGACAATGGGCCATGGCGTGTGTGTGTGTGTGTGTGTGTGTGTGTGTGTGTGTCTGTGTGTGCGCATATGTAGCCCTACAGCGTGCAAAATGTGTAGAGCACAGCAGCGTGTTCACAAGCCGTAGTGGGTGGGTGGGCCCGGACTGCTTCCTCTTCTCTTCCATGTGCACAGATTCACAGAATGTGTAGCATGAGCTCGCACCCCTCCCCCAGCCACTGCTTCCTGCTGGAATGCACCCCCACCCTTTCCTGATGGCCTGGATTCGCATTGGCTGTGCTCGGCGGACGGTCAGGCACGGCACCCAGCCAGCAGCCAGCCACTCTTTGGCTCCGGGGGAACTCGTATCGACGCAAGCGCAGGCAATGGCGGGGAGCAGGGGTGGCAGGGGGGTGGGATGTCGCGTTGGTGGTGGGGGGGGCGTGCAGGCCAGGGACGCAGTCTTGTTGGCTAGAAAGTAGGGTTGAGCTCTTTGGGGTGTGGACTTGTATTTGAGTGACCCTGGTCGGATGTCTTAGCTTAGAGCCCTCGCTCCCCCTCTCGCCCATATTTGAGCACTTCAGAAAAGTCACGTGGTCTTAAGATTTGGGCTGGTGACCAGCTTGGTGTGTTTCTTTTTGTATACCTTTTTTCTTCTTCAATAAGGCACTTTTTTTCCATTTTTTTTTTTTTTCAATTTGACTTTTTTAAAGCATAAAAAATGCATATATTTTATACATTTGCCAATATCTGAAATAGCAGGTAAAGGCACTTTAAAAAAAAAAAAATTCAGACGTGGTTAAACCTCTTTGCTTAGCGGGCTGCATATTGAATCAACATTGAACGTGTTATTTGTTGCACGTTTTATTTTTGGAAAGGGTTGTTTTTTTACGATGAATAATCTGTGCTAAAGGGAGATTTTAAAACTCCCTCTGCTGCTGCATCCTAGAAGAGCGACATATTCTGACCATTTTACAACAAATGTATCCATGTAACTCAACATTGAACGCTGAGGCCCTAAGGAGCACGGCACAAATGAGCTTTGCTCACCAACAGGTTCTGGTCAAAGGCCTTCGAGGACTAAACTAATCGTGGCTTTTCTTTCTCTTCTCACAGGTTTTGGATGGTATGCTTGCTCAGTATGGTGGCGTAGAGAGCTGTGAACAAGGTAGAAAGACTTCTTTTGGATTTTCTTTATACTAAATCCAGCTATTTTATACTGCATTTAGAATGCGTCAAACATGCTTTGTTAGAACTGCAAATATAAGCATTCATTTAATGCTTTTAAAGGCATAATTACAACTTCTGAATGAATTTATGTGGTGCCAGGAAATGAAAGTAGCCCATGTTGGTGATTTGTGTCGGCGCCATTTGAATGTGTCGATTTTGAGTCTGACTTGTTCTCCCACAGTAAACACTGACACAGAGACGGCAGTAGTCAACGTTCGATATGCAGCCAAGGACCAGGCCCGGCTGTGAGTACACGCACACGCTGCGACGTTAACCTGCAGCTCACCCGTCTTGATGCTTTTGACCTGATCTGTTGATGCCAGAAACCACCTCCTCTGTCTATTGTTCCTAAAGTGCACCAGATTTTACCCTTCCCAAAACCAGTTTAATTTGACATGCAGTGATGACTGGGACGGGTGAGTGCGCTAGGTTGGGGAGGGGTTAAACTAGCCGTCTGGTGCCCCCCGGTGTACATGAACCACACTACAATATTCTTCCCTGCACGAGTGGTTGTAGAATTCTCCGACACGGCTGATTGTTTCAATAGAAGTCCTTGATTCCTGCTTCTACTTTCAATCATTCAAAGCAGCGGTTTAGCAGTTCGTTGATTTATTTGTATCCATGCTCTGTATGATTTATTATTTTTTTTTTTTTCTTCCCCCAGGGCAATGGAGAAGCTGAACGGATCTATGATGGAGAACTACGCCTTGAAAGTGTCGTACATCCCGGATGAGACTGCTGCGGCGGAGGGTCCTTCGGCGGGGGGCCGGAGAGGCTATGTCGCCCGTGGAAGCTCTCGTTCCGGCTCGCCAAGTCTGGGCACCCGGCCCAAAATGCAGTCCGACATCCCCCTGCGAATACTGGTTCCCACGCAGTTTGTAGGGGCGATTATTGGCAAGGAAGGTGCCACCATCCGCAACATCACCAAACAGACCCACTCAAAGTACGTACACAGATGAGAGCGTTTTTCTTTCTGTATTGGTCGTTCCTATCATTCTACTCGGATAAAGGTATAGAAAATGCATTTCCGAAAGCTAAACGCAGGTGTTGGAAACTACAGTTCCAGGTTTGGAATGACATGTAGTTATGATAAAGAACTGAAATGTAAGGCGGTTGTCTAAAGTTATTGCCAGAAATGGCACATTTTCTGTAATGGCCCGTAAACCTTTGTCCTGCATAGTGTTATTTGGGATAAACAGACAAGCTCTCTGCGCTTTATCGGGGTACAGGTTCTGTAGGTCCTTGTGACCGATTCAAGAAGCGTGACCCCATTTCATCCTGTCTACCATGTTACTGATAAAATGCAATTGCAATATTGGAAATCCTGCTCTGAGCCGCCTTGTCTAATTGTTTTTCACTGCATGGCATCAGATCCTCTGCCTCTAACCGGCTTTTTCCCACCGGCCATGCAACTGCCTTCATTAAGCTACTCTCTAAAAGAGAAATCTAGCCTATTTGCCAATGAACAAGAGGCCCATATACCTCCCATTTTCAGTAAAATAACAGAATGGACACACTCTTGGCTCAAAACTTTCTTTTGCTAACATCCACTTGTACAAATACATCCACATATAGTGGAAAAGTTGGATTATTTGTATTTAACATAATTGCTGCAATAAAAACACTCAACCACAACATGCAATGGTAGAAAGGCTGGAAAACCGTGCAGGAGTCTTAAGGATTCAAACCAGTTTAGTTCTCTGCCTAGTTGAAGGAGAGCTACTGCTTTCTGTCAATCATTAAAATGAGTTTCCACCAGGTTCCGTCCTTGGGCCTCTTGAAACCGAAGTAGTTGTTTTTAGATATAAAGATTTGCTTTTAATTACCTGCCTTAAATATCTTTTACCTCCTTGTCTTGAGTTATTGGAAAGTGCTGTATGAATAAATCTACCTGCCTTTACTCCAGGATCGACATCCATAGGAAGGAAAATGCAGGTGCAGCAGAGAAGCCCATAACGATTCACTCCACCCCCGAAGGTTGTTCGAATGCTTGTACAACAATCATGGAGATCATGCAGAAGGAAGCCCTCGACACAAAGTTGTGAGTTTGTTCCCAAACCAAATACGCTTGGTATTTTGTGTTTTACCAGTTTACCCCCTTCTACAGTTACGTAATTCTCTATTAAAATATCCAGTGCGGTTTCTTAAAAGGCCATCATACATTTTTCTGTTCCAATTGCGTAAAGAAATAATGTTATGTATGTTTTTTTTTGACATAAGTGTGTGTTTGGAAGGATTGCAGGTTGCACAGCCGGTGTATGGACTGTAAATATGTGCATAAGATACTGTAAAATGAAATGGCAGAGATCTGAATGTTCTAGGAGCATTTAACTAAACCTAATTTGTCTTGTGCAGCACTGAGGAGATCCCGCTCAAGATACTCGCACACAATAACTTTGTCGGAAGGTTAATTGGGAAGGAAGGGCGCAACTTGAAGAAAATCGAGCAGGACACGGAGACCAAGATCACAATCTCAGCGTAAGACTGACACCTGCGCTCGCAGTTCAATGATGGAACTTTCTTCTTCCTTTTTACTGGCTGTGTTTGGTCTCTGCGGTCTCTATCAATGAGCCGCCGTCCAAAGCGTACACTCCGACATTGAAGACGCCTGTTCTTGTTCCCTCATTGTTTGGTTCAGTCTGCAGGACCTGACCGTGTACAACCCTGAGCGGACCATAACTGTGAAGGGCACCATCGAGGCCTGCGCAAGAGCCGAGGAGGAGCTGATGAAGAAGATCAGGGAGTCGTACGAGAGTGACATGGCTGCTATGAATGTAAGCCTCTTCAATGGAGATTGGACAATTATAATTCAAATAGATTTTCTGTTTTATTGTGGAAAACTGACATTGCTTTAAAAGTGATTACTGCCACAAAGTAAAGACTGTGTAGTACATACAAATAGAAGCCAGATCACAAACCCTAAGTGGTTATTAAAATACAGTGATCTGTAAATATTGCTGCTTTAACGCTCTTTGCTGTCCTGATTCAATTTCTTATAACCTCAAAACCATGTTTATCCGCAGGGCTTTCTTTAGTTTTAATCTTAAATCCTCACTAATTGTGTTTTTAGAGAACACAAATCTAAAGGATTAGTTTTGTTGACGCAACCTGTGACGTGTTAATGGAAATGTTCTCGTTTCCCATCCAGCTCCAGTCCAACCTGATTCCAGGCTTGAATCTGAACGCTTTGGGTCTGTTCCCCAGTGGGGCGCCGGGCATGGGTCCCTCCATGTCCAGCATCCCACCCCCGGGAGCCCACGGGGGATGTTCCTCCTTCGGGGTAAGTGGCGGTCTCGTACAGGAGTTTTGCCCCCACATGCTACCCTTTCAAACCCGGGACTGTCAGTGTTTTATTTATTTTTTTATTAATCTATTATTATACAGCGCTTTAATCAGGATAGTGAGAACTACAATTAATAAAAACTAAAAAAAACAACACATGTAGTCTTTAGCAACTCGGCTTCATGTTTGTTTTTTCCGTTTAGTGCAGTCCTTATGGGGGCGAGGGGCCATTTTGGGCCACTACGCTGTCGGCGAGCAGCCAGCCCCTTTCTGTGAGTCGCCCGTCCCAAAGTGCTTTGCACGGCTTGTGGCTGCTCGCTGTGGGATTAGTGGAGGTCCTCCAGATGCCCCCAAAACTTTAAACCTTTTTTCTTTTCTTTTTTAAGGAAGGGTTTGTATGTGGAGACCTGGAGGGCAGCAGTAGTGTGGCCAGTAGTCATAATTTAAATCACCAGATGGTTTACATTGGGTTTGGGGGAGGGGGGGTGATTAAAAGCACTTCTCCAGATTTGATCATGTTTTACCCCTAGGTGACCTATTGAGTGGACTATGGGGCTTGATCCCAAATCATCAGAGCCACTTGTTGTCCCTTTGGGACGATCAAATCACTCCCTCTCTGAGAGCTCAAGTCAATCACACGCACCCAAAAACACGAGTGATGTGCTTGCATTTGTTGCCAAAAGTATCTGTAAATGCAGTCCAGTCTAATTAAAACATGGGCTGCGTTTTAAAAGGCCGCTTTGAACCTGGTTCAGACTGTTCTACGTATGAAAACGTTTGGCGGATGGATTCTGTTTCCTTGTTGAGTGGATTAAAATAGAACATGCAATGGGCTCACTTTCACTAATTAGAACACAACGTTAAGAAGTTCCCACTGAACGTAAATGACCAGTAGCATGAGCTTTAAAAAAATAAATAAAATGTAACCGCTTCTGCTTGCTCCACTGTCCTGACTTCCCGCTGAAGCAAGTAGTCTCCAGTCACTGGCTGAGAGCTCCCGGTTGCAGTAGCACTAAAGTGTGGCCCCCCCCGCAGGGACACCCGGAGTCGGAGACGGTTCACCTGTTTATCCCTGCGCTCGCGGTTGGCGCCATTATAGGCAAACAGGGTCAGCACATCAAACAGCTGTCGCACTTTGCCGGCGCCTCGATCAAGGTGAGTGACAGTCTGAGTGACGTTTCGGAATCTCAATGATGTCTGTGTGTGTGTGTGTGTGTGTGTGTCTTCGTGTTGTTTTCCGGCCTTGACCACCTTCTTGGCGCCCGTTGAATACTGGCTGTCTGCCCTCTTTCAGATTGCCCCCGCGGAAGAAGTGGGTGCCACACCACAGAGGAGGGTCACCATCGCTGGACCGCCAGAGGCTCAGTTTAAGGTGCTTTACCTCACGGCCGTTATATAAACACACCAAATACCGTTGAAACGCTCTTATGTAGGTTATTCACTCACTTCAGGAGCGCCCCCCCCCCTCTCCCAAGAAATGTTTTTTTTTTGTGAGAGCCCCTAAAGCCATTTCTCTTTGGTTTTGTTTGCCTCCAGGCTCAGTGTCGCATCTTTGGGAAACTGAAGGAAGAGAACTTCTTTGGACCCAAGGAAGAGGTGAAGCTGGAGGCTCACATCAAGGTTCCTTCCTTTGCTGCTGGACGAGTCATCGGGAAAGGAGGAAAAACGGTAAAAAGCCCCCCCCCCATCCTAACGAAGTTCATTTGAACAAATCAAAATCCAATTATTTACTCTTAAGTTGTCCTTATGTTTTGATTGTGGCTGCAGGTAAACGAGCTGCAGAACCTGACCTGCGCAGAGGTGGTGGTGCCCAGGGACCAGACGCCCGATGAGAACGACCAGGTCATAGTCAAGATCAGTGGACACTTCTTTGCATGCCAGGTGGGTTTTTTGAAAGGAATTGAAGATGTAAAGTCTCCGGTCTTTCCTTCTTTCCTCACTCTGGTCTGATCTTAACATGTCCTCATACCCTCCAGCTGGCCCAGAGAAAGATCCAGGAGATCCTGGCCCAGGTGAAGAGGCAGCAGCAGCCTAAACCCACATCCGGAGCCCAACCTCCACAGCCTCGCAGGAAGTAGAGCTCCAGCGGATCTGGAGGAATGGTGACTGAATCTGCCAGAAGACTCAACAGGTGGACAGATGCAGCAGAGTCCGGGGGGGGGGGGGGGGGGTAGAAGAGGAAGACGAAAGGTCGTAGCGGTCATCTCAGGGGGTCAAAGGTTATCAGAATGCAACCAAACATCCACCCCGCCTTGTCCTCCTTGATGAACTTTCAGGTGTGGCTAGAAAGAGACCCTATGCCTCTGCACCCTAACCTCACCTCTCTGCATCTCCAAGAAAGTACTTCTGAGGGCTCCCACCAACGTCACCTGCCCTCACATGTACGCACCCCTCGACCGTTCTCACCCCACGGGTGTGTCAATGTTTGTTTTTTGTTTTGTTTTTTTGGTCCTCTTTTTACACTAGAATCACAAAGGAGAAATAAGGATTCCCCTCCTATCGCCTCATTGGTGTGGTACTTCAAACCCGATCAGATGTTTTGGTTGACTTCAGATTTCTTTTTTTTTTTTTTTCTTAGTGTTTAATTGGTTTAAACGTTATCATGAGTTTTCTGTGGAGAGGAAAAGGCATTGCTATCAAGGTCCTGGTTTGGACCAAGAGAGGTTTATTTTGGGGGAGGGTTGGCTCAGATTGGGTGGGCTGTGTTTAGGGGAAAGATTCTTGTTTCAGGACAGGACCCCTGAAGGGGTGGGCTGTATTGGGCGTCCTGCCCCTGTAATGATAGTGGCATTTTATAAATTTGGATGCATTTTATAGATAGACCTATATACATAGATGAATATATATTTAGAGGTGAGGGCAGAGTCATGACACTTCGGGAAACTGTGCCGAACTGCTGCTGCCCAGGAAAACCAATTTAATATGCATTTTACTTAACTACCTCAGGATCTAGTACCTCAGAAGAGAAAAGAAAATGATTATATATATGAAAAAAATGTTCCGTTCTTTTTTTAGTTTGCTTTTGTGGTATTTTGTATACTTTATAAAGCTGATAGTCTTTGAACATTTTTATTTTTTTAAGAAAAAATTTAAAATTTGGTCAGCTGCCAACTGACCTTGCCTTCAACTCTGGTGCTTTAGGTGGCGTTGTTCATGTGTATGTGTGACTTAAGATGACCCTGTACATAAAGTCTATTAGTCTGTTTGTACATTGACGCCCCGGAGCAAGAGTTGGCGCCCCTCAGCTGGCGGCTGACAAGAGTAGCGAGAGAAAATCGCCTCAGTTTTTCCCCTGAGGGTCCACCATCTTCTGAAAATAAGTACAAAACATCTAAGAAACGCAAATAATGCCAACCGAACATCATTACAGCAATGCCATTTTGGGATTGACATTGGTAATGGAACTTTAATTTGTCAAAAAAAAAAAAAAAAAAAAATCCTTTTCGCCTTCCCATGAGGGCCGTGATCAGTGCAGCGTGGGCCGCACAGGTCTCCTCTCCAGCTGCCCCTCAGTCAGCAGAGCGTCGTCTTTTTCTTTTTCTCCGTTCTGTTCCCAGGCCTCCTGCCGCCTTCTTCACCACGGTGTCTTAGTGAGGTCCAAGCCTATGTTGTTTTTTTTCATAGATACAAGTTGTCATTTCCGAGTGGCGCTTGAAGCCTGGCCATTAAGTCAATGGTAACGTCGTTCACTGCATGGTGAGGGGGAGTCACACTGATAGACGCATTTTCTTTCTTTTTTCGCGTTATAAGAAAATGATTTAAACCAAGACATTGACGCTAGACCACAAATGTAACTTGATGTTCCAGTTGTTCAAATAGGGAAAGAATTGCCAGAAAAGGCACACAGATTAGTACATTAACCCTGATTGGGGGGGGGGGGGGGGGGTGCAAGAGGAAAGGAATCCAAAACCTAAAACACAATTTATTTCATTTGTCTCTTCATGCCGAATGTAAATATGTTGATTGTGGTAAAACGCGAGTGTGTCTATGCTTCCACGTTAGAACGCCGTCTACCTCAGCTTAGGGGAGAGGGGGGGTTGTGGTGCGAGGCATCCCACCCTGCCCCCACTTGAGCGCCAGCGCGCATTGATGCCTCAGACCCCCCCCCCCCCCCCCGTTAATGTGAGCGCAATCATTACACCGCGCTCAACCAGGGGGGGGCACAAGTGATGCTTAAAAATCCCAGATTCCCCGCTTCCTTCCTGCAAACCCCCCCCCCCCCCCCCCCCCCCTCTCCCTCCACCGCAGTTTTGTTTTGATCTACCTCTTTAGACAAGTATTTGAAGTAGAGGCATTCTTCTATTTGTTAGAATTTAACCCCCCCCCCCTCCTTTATGGCTCCCCCTATGATATGAAAACTTAAACTAAAATCATGTACTGTTTAGAATTGAGAGAATAATCGAAAGTGATCAAAATATTTTCTTTTACCAGTGTTTATATGTACTCTTTTTGGCTCAACTGAAATCCTCAACCAATCGTCTTTCTTTCTATTTTTGGTGGTGTGGCTTACATGTATTTGGACTTTTGCTTGGGTTTTTTGTGGAAAGTCAAATCACCAGTTTGATTTTGCATTCAATAGTTAAAATGAAAAAATACAGTTTAAAAAAAAAAAGGGCCTGTCCTTTTTTTTGTTTATTTGAAAGACTTAAAATAGATAAAGTCCTGTCTTTTTTTCCCCTTTGTGTTTCACAGATGCTACACTCACCCGCTGATTCAGTAGCCATTTTCTTCTGTTAGCATTTCTTGGCTGTGTAACGTGGAAAATCTTGGTATGAGACAGATGAGGGACTGGTTCTGAGTTTTTTGGAAAAGTGATCTAATTTCAGCATGATATTCTCTTCACCATCTCTCTGCAACCATTGTTATGCCCCTTCACCTCCCCTTCACACACAGCTCCACTTGTCAAATGCCTCTGAATAAAAATAAAAAAACATAATTAAATTTGTCTTATTTTATACTTTATTCTCAACCTAAAATAATTGAATGGTTAAAAATGATATGTGCATAATTTGTAGTGAAGTAATGTTGGTAAAAGAACGACTAGATATGGAGAGAAATCACTGTCTTCAATTAGCGGTTAGTTTACAACCTTTATTAAAGTCGTCAGGTTCTCACTAAATTTATTGAATTAGTTTTTTCATCTTTTAAAATTTCCCGTTCAATTAATTCCACTTAGGAAGGGCATGCAATGCCACTACCTTTTCATCCTGGAACTAACTCACGGATGTCATTCTAAACTCTTGATTAGTATCACGATTATCTACTGTGAAGCAGCACTTATTTGCAATTTTATTTGCAATAAAACAATTCTTTTGATCTGAAAACAACCGTGGCTCGAGCAGACTTCATCTAGCAGCCACCTCGTCCACTGCCACGCAGGAAAAGATCAGAGCGTTGGTGCAGCTTTACGGAGCTCACACAGGACGTCTCTCGGTCAGAAGGTGATGGCTCTCCTCGCTGGAGGGGAAGAGTGCCTCCTTGAAGCGGCTCACACGTCCTCCGACCCCAGAATGGCCGCTGGCGTCCTCGAACAGTGACCACTGGCTGGGACGGTACACCTTTTGACGCCTGGGAGAGACGGACGGAGGAGTGAAGTGAGAGGGAGTGGAAGTGTTTTGTTGGGACGCTTGAGACTCATCGCATGTGCAAGATGACATACTTGCAGACCAGATAGGCCGCAAATGCCAAAACGGCCACCAGCACGGCGGTCGAAGACAGCAGCACTGCAGTGTGTGAAGTCCTGGACGCTGCGGGGGGACAGAACGGCAGTGAGACGGAGAAACCTCAATCCTTCCTGCAAAGCTGCACGGTGAAGCTCACGCAGGTGTGTTGGAAATGAATGTCTGTGTGTGTGTGTGTGTGTGTGTGTGTGTGTGTGACCCACCGGGCGCGTCCTGGGACTTGTTGATGGTGACGGTGGTGCTGGTCAGCGTCAGGCTCCCGGCGTCCTCCAGGGTGATGTTGACACAGTAGGTGCCGGGCGCCGGAAACGTCCGTCTGAGATGCACTTCACACTGCGATGATGGCGCCACGTCATCGCACATGATACTGTGCACCTGAGTGCAGGCGGGGTCCGACACGATGGTGCAGGCTGAAGTGGGGATGCTGAGGATGAGCGATGAAGGGTTGAACGAAAAAATTTAAAATACATATTTGGTAGCACTACATGACTGCAGTTTTATTGAATTTTTAACATTCAAAAGGTTTTAAACCCTTCAAAATAAAACTGAATTGTGTTAGTAGTCTGATTAATCTTTGTCCATATACTAATCATACGTATTTCCTATCACTCCGATATATGATAAACCTCTAAACCTTTAGATCCAATGTAAGTAATTTCAATTTAGATATTTTAAATAAAAGGGTCACTTTTTGACACTTGAAAATCTTTCTCAACACTTTTTGGGGATTTTTCCCAAAAGCAGTGAAGAGAAACCTTTAAATAAATTTAAACTCCAATTGAATAAATCCATCCCTACTTACTTTCCCAGACATTTCACCAGGAAGCCGACGTCCGTGTCGGTCATTCGGGCAGCCAGCACACTCACAATGCGGCTCTTTGACTTGCTGCTCAATGCCTGCTTGGGCTCTGTGGACAACAGATTTTTTCTTTTTTTATTGATTAGATTGATGCCTAAATCCCAACATAATTGAACTCGTATCAAAAGGCCAGTTTCACATAAACCAATCAGACAATGAACAAATAATATTTTTGAGCAATGGGTGGCACTAGAGGATCATATTATTCATTAAAAGTCAGTCAAGATTTCATGAAAATACATAAAGTAGTTGTAGTCTAATATTTAGTGGATATTTCACTGTCAATGGCAGGTCCACAATGTAAATTATATAATCCACCATATTTTCCAATTCAATTTTAAAGCCACTATGTGTTTACCTCAAAATGTTCTGACTTTGGCGTTGCCATAAAACACGCTGCGACACACACAGCAACTGGCACCGCTTTGAAAATCACGTCCGCCACCTACCAACAATGGTGATGTTTGCACTGAAGGTGCCGTAGGCGTAGCGGTAGCACTCGTTGCTGTTGAGGTTCCCTGTGCGGAGCCAGGCCGGGGTGGTGGGGTTCCACTCTGGGGTCGTGTTGTCAACGGTCGGGAAGAGGCTCTCTGTGGTTGGCAGTTTGGTTGTCATGGCAGCAGGAGAGGAGGAGGGAAGGGCCTGCCTGGTGCTGAGTGGCACTGAAACAGAAAACTTGACTGTTTTAAGTAGTCAAGTTATTGGGCCTTCATTCATATTTAATGAGCCCGTGCACGGAAACACACACTTCCTGCGTCTCTCTGTTTCTGCCTTATACACACGTAAACAAACACACTGTTGGCTCCGGGGCTCACCTGGGGTTGTCTCCATCTTGACAGTCCCAGCATGAGTACCAGGACGTGGAGGGGTGGGAGCATCTGGGGTAAGAGACGCAGGAAAACATTCAGGACACATCTAGTTATGTGAGGTAACACTTCAATGGGGTTGGGGTGGGGGGAGTGGCTTCTTGCTTTATCCTGTCCATCAACGTCAGACTTCAGGACCAATTGTGGGACGAAGGGGGATCTGGTGTCCTGCTTGAAATTAACAGCATAAACCCTTCAAATGACAAACAATCTTTTTCTCGTTTATCGCTTGCTGATGGTTCTGAGCAGGCCATTCAAAGCTAACAGGGCTAACGGGGCTAAAAGTGCAAACTATGGCCAAAGTGCCGCCACAGCTAAAACTGTCCGGCGCCGTGGGTCTGGACGGTTTATCAGCTGAAACTATCTCATGAGCGCAGTGCAGAGCGGTGGCCGTTAGTTGCCCAGTGGAGCGCGCTCACATGCAGGAACATGAACCCAAACCTCACACAGCCGAACTCTTTTTCTCCACAAAGCAAGGACAAACTCGAATGACAACACACACGGAGGTGAGCAAGTTCATTCTCTGCCCAATCTGATGGGCACTCTGTACACCAGAAATTAGGAATTTTGTCCGCCTGAAAAGACGTTTTGAGTGTGTGCTATACAGCACAATATATGTTTGTTCCAAATAATACAAAAAAACCCCCTCATTAACTGCGTCCTTTAACTTAATGAAGGACTAGCGCGCCCACAGGATGATTCATGTAGGCCGAGTAGAGCCTACATGAACGTCTCCAACGGCCACCTGCAAGCCTCATTGAGGTGTGTCACCCTGGGTCTTATGCAGGTACCTGTGGCCGGTGAGGACTTGGAGCTCCCGTGTGTCGGGGTGGCGGAGGTGGGTGGACACTCTGCAGGGAACGCCGCCTCTACCACCAGCTTCACACTCATACTCCCCAGCGCGCTGTAGGCGTGTGTGGTCACGTCGCGGTGGGTCACCAGCTGGTTGCCGTCTCTGAAGTCCCAGATGTAGTCGATGGCGGCCGCCGTTCTGAGGTACCCGCTGGGGTCGTGGAGCTGGACTTTGAAGAGCACGTCCTCGCCGCGAACGAAAATGTTCTCGGACTGGTTGGCTGCGGCCTTCTGGGAAATTTCAACTGCAACTGGGATCTTATCTAAGAGAGAGAGAGAGAGAGAGAGTGCGTCAGGGGAGGAATGAATTCTGTCCGTTTGGCTGAAACATCTTAAACGCTGTATGAATTTGCACGTTTGAGTTTTTCTCCACCTGTGACATAGAAGACGCTGTTGTCGGTGCTGAGGGGGCTGTACTTTCTGCGCTCACGTTTCCTGTAGACCATGACCTCCATGACCTCTGCGCCCAGTGGGATGTTGGTGGTGTTGACGGTCAAACTGGAGGAGGAACCGCCGCACGTCTCAAAGTACTGGCCTGGGACAAACCGAGAAGATGGATTGAGCGTTAATCAGTTGCTCATTCGTTGCTATATGTAGAAGTCTGAAAACTGGTCTCGTCTCACCCATCGCGTGCCACACGTAAACGTAGCTCTTTCGGCTCCAGTCGTTGCGCTGAGGAAAGGGCTTCCCATCGGGGAACACGTTGCATTTTTTCAAGTCTGTACACTTTCCAAAGCCATAGTCGTCCAACCAGGAGGTCCAGTTGTACACGTAGCCGCTCCGCACTTGTCCATTGGCTGCTCGGGGCAGAAGAGAGCGAGGTATAGTGTTATTTAAAAACAATTGTTTTTCATCTGCACCTATTTACATGTGTATATCAACAATGGCTTTGCAGCTCCTCTTAGCTATGGAACATTTCAGCCGTTTTGCTTCGGTCTCACCATCCTTGTAGCAACACACAGTTCGTGCCGGAGCAAGCCAGCTTTAGAGCAATTATCTGTTGAAATGTAGGGTGTTTCTCCCAGGAGCAGAAACGGAGCCAAACAGAATGTGAATGTTTGACTTCCATTCTCCAGGTGGACAGAAGCACACCTCCAAGTGACGTGTTAAAAATGGCAAATGCATATTTTAAATTATACGTCTGTTCTCAACAACCCAGAACAATTATTCAATGCTGTCTCATATGATGCCGAGTTGTTTTGTGGTGGACGATGATGCAATGTGTCAGAGGGCGTGGCCTGGCCTTGCTTTTTGGCAGCACCTGACGCCTCGAGCTCCGTACCGTCCTGGCAGTGCTCATCCCAAACAACGTCCCCGTTGGCATCCTCCCTCTGGCACGGAGGGTACTCCAACTTCGCGGTGAAGGAGATGCAGGAGCCATTGAGAGCCGGACTGTCGCTGGTCAGATGAACCTTTGGTTTACCTGCAGAAAAAAGTTGACTTTCATGTAAAAAAATTCCAAAATATAACAGGAAGAATCCAGAGAGTAAAGAGGACTTTACTTACCTTTGTGGTGCATGAGTTGTTTTGGCTTGGGGTTTAGTGGAGGGTAGAGGTAGTCGTCCCATGGGTTGGTGTCTGGATCCCAGCCAGGGATTGGTGGAATTGGAAACGGGGACTTCCCTACGTGCTTGTGGGGAAACATGTCACCGTATGCTGGAGAGAGAGAGAGAGAGAGAGAGAGAACACACAGATCATTCTAAGAATCCTCGACGTTTCCTCAATAATGCACAAAGACTTGTTTTGGAGTCTTTATATTTCTTCTTTGAAAGTTGCAGAAAATGGCTTTCTTATTATAATCCATGGTCATTTCTGGGAAGTTCATCCTGCAAAAGAACAGCTCCAAACTGATTTTTTGTTCCACGACCGCAATGTATTGCCTTTTCCTTCAGACAGTGAAGATTTTAAAACCTCTATCGAAACCCATCTAAAATGAAATCATCGGAGTCCTTGAAAGATTATTATGTGTGGACGCATTTGATCCAGTCCATACCTTTGTTTCATGACTTCTGTCATAATTTAGATTTAAGAGTTAAAACAAATGGCAGTTGGAAACTATAAATTCCAAACTATAAAATTGATTAAGGGAAAACCATCCAGCTGTTTGTGTTAGCTCACATATGCCAAATATTGACATTTGAAACATTAACATGTAATATTAAATTGGATGAACAAACTTTTTTTTATTGATAATGTTTCATTTGTTTTTTCAATTGTTTGATTTCCCATGTTGGAATCATTGTGAATTAAGCCTTTATTATAAAAAGCATTATTTTATACATATAATTAGAGTTCCCTGACTGCTGCTGCTGACGCCTTAATTAAGCTCATGGGACTGTGAGTGCGCAGCAGCTCAGCGAATAACTAACAAGGGAAACTGTGAGACTAATATATCAGAAAGACTTCTTCACTACTGCGAAATAATAAATAATACTTATAAGACTTTCCCCAAACAATTAAATCAGAGCTTGGACTTTTGGAATATTTGAAAAGGACATGCAGTAAATGTGTGATGAGTCTGCGGTGAGTATTTTCTATCAGGTCTCTATACCGACTTACTGTTGAAAATACTGTTCACAACTTACTTTTGAGTCCATCAGCTCGACCAACGAAGACGGCACAAACCAGGAGAAAAACGAACCGCAAGCCTTTCATCGCTGTTCAGCTGGCGAAGTCGATATCCAAAATTGGTAGTCTATCCGTCTAAATAAATAAAATCCAATAAACGGTGTGTTCGCGGACAGTGAAAGCACGTCCCTCTCTGTCCCCGTCCGCTGTCTCAGTACTTTCCCATTGCTGATCTTAAATAATTTAATCTGGAGGATGCTGTGTGCAAAAACATGTGACGTTTCCTAACAGGACGCATCTCATCCCTTATTAGTCTGGACGCAGGAAACTCATGAGCGACCAGATGTGTCTCTGCACGCCCCTCTCCCTCTGGCCTCAAAAACATTGGCAAAGCTTTTAATTCAACTCAAGGTTGTTTATTTAGAAATACACTGTTTCTTCAAGATCAAGATCAATATTAGTGATTTATTGTTTGCTTGTTTGGATAAACTGATAATATGTCTTGGTGGTGCCGACGACGCATTTAATATGACGTATCTTTGTCTTGATTGTGAAACTTTCGGTACAAACATATATAATAATTATGTCACTGCATATAAAAATACATTTTGGAAACGTTTCAAGAAAATGCCCCATAATTTGACCTTTACCTGAATGGAGAAATATCTAAGAGTCAAATATCGGACGCCACGTGAGTCACTGGTAAAGACTGACTGATATTAATTGCATTATAGGGATTTATTTTTTGTTGTGATTTTTCTTTTCTTCTGAAAACCTGATCAACTTTAAATTCCGCGTGGGACAACTGAGCGCATGACTTCTTTATTCGATTCATTTGTTTCATCGCGCTTAGTCACGATGAGCCGCACATGGATGTGCGTGAGATGCGAGTTATTGCGCCACAACTCACCCCCGCCCCCCAAAAGCGGAAGAAACGCTCCGTGTGATGTTGCCTTTTTCGTTTTTTCAACTCTACACATGTGATGGACGCGTCGTTATACTGCAGCGGCTCGTCTGCTGTCACAAGGAGAGTTTTGAAACTGCAACGAAGGGCCACAAACAGCCCGCTGACACCTCACTCATCTAAAGGTCACAGACACAAAGTAGAATTCCCTTAATATCGGGGAGATAAAAGAAAGTATCTGTGACGCGTAATTCCAGTGAGATTGAAACGTCAACTGAATATAAAGCAAAGGATAGTTTGTTATTCTTGAATTTAAACGAAATCAATTTCAAAATGTGTGTGCGCTGCTTGAAGTGAGAGAAAGCTACAGTGTGCATTCAATATTCTAAAGTATACCTTAAATGATTCCTTAAATTCCAGCTGTGTAGAAATTAAATCCAGCGGCAAAATCCTAATTTGCGATTTTTTCTTCAATGGCGTGCGGCTGAAGTCAGTCAAGAAACAAAAACAGTTTCCATGAGTGATCATCACGTGCTTTTATCCGCAATATTTGTAAACATTAATGAATATCAAAAATAAAATGACACGACAACTAAGATCATCCCCCGATAAAGGCCGCGAGATGTGACGCTCAGCAAGAAAGCCAGTAAATTCTCTCTGAAATAGGATTATTTTTAATATAAAGTCTGTTGGCTGACATCAGTACTGTTTGTACATCAGTAGGGGGCAGCACCTCTCCGCAGCTTCTAATGACAGGTTGGGAAGGTGGAGGTTGGTGAGGCTCCTCCCACATTCCCTCAAATACAGTCACACGCTACACCCAAAGCTAATGAATGGATCATTGTAATATACTTTTCCCCCAAATAAAATAAAACAATATTTACAAATGACCTTTAAGACAACACATAATTCAGCAGTCAGTTCCTTTGGAACACAATATACAGCTGCAACTAAGTATTCGTTTAAGAATGGATTAACTTTACGCTTATTTCCAAGATGAATTGATTAATCTTCTTAGAAAGTGTTTCAAAACTGAAAATAATACTTCCCAATAAATGTCAATTCAGTTTCAAGGATTAATCATTTAGCTGAACTTTTTTATCTAAAGCAACTTGCAAAAAGTGCATCCAACCAGAACAATGAGAATGAAGAAAGTACAATTTCTCCAAGAAAGCCAGACTACAAAGTGATAAAAGAAGTGCTAGTAGAAAATAATAATTGTCTTGCATTTATTGCCTAGCAGATACTTGACTACATCAGAGATAGCAAAACTCCATCTTATTGGTTGATAATCACAACTGATGTCAGATGAATCAACTCCTAACTTTTACTTGATACAGCGAGGACACCGTGTCTTTCTGGTCCTTCGTCTTTCGCCCGCTGCCCGCGTTCACTCTAGCTGTCATGTCCTCACCTTCCTGGAGTCCACGGGAGCAGACAGCCAACTGGAACCAGAATGTGGCCCATTTACCCGGCGTGACGGTGTGCAAGCTGCCGCCCCGGGTGTGTTTCCCACGTTTGTAAGATGTGTCTCCCAGCTGTACGGCTAATTATATATATCTATATATAGCCACACCGCGGCGGTTAGGTCAAAGGATGCCACTAATACGCCAGAATGGATTAATATGGATAATTAATAAGCTACGGTGAACTCTGTGTGTGTGTGTCTGTGCACTTCAGAGCTGGAGGGTGTGTTTTGAGTCCTCCAAGAAAACTATGTGCCGCTTCACTTTCCACCCCATCGCTAACTGGGAATCATAGTTTTACCCCTTTCAGAAGAAGATGGCAAATCAAAGACGGGCCCATTTTGCTTATACGAGTCATTGTTCTTAACTGTTTGTCAATCTGCTTGCTTTATGTTTGGATGTTTTTAATGATTTCATGTGAAGCCTTTTGAATTGCCTTGTTGTTGAAATGTGTTATACAAGTACCATTGCCTTGCCTTAACAGTGAGCTGAGCCCCAGGAGGTTTTTCCTGTGGATCAGCGTGGTTTTACGCTGACTTTAGCCCCAACTTGCGTGTTGATTGTGAGGTCGGTGATGGTTCTCGCGAACACGGCACCAGTGTTTTTAACGAGCGTCTTAGCAGGTAGGCTTATTCCTTTGGCCTGCGCAGATAGAACAAATCCAACCTCATGCATCCGTACACCCTCAACAGAGCAAAGCACCAGAGACTCTGTTTTGCTCCAACGGCGCAGAAGGCTCCAGACGTCACTGCTTGCAGAACTATGAATGAACCACAAACTAGAAATGCATTGTGCTGCCAAAAATCCCTGTTATGATCTCTCTCTCTCTCTGTTCTCTGTCCTGTGTGTGTGTGTGTGTGTGTGTGTGTGTGTGTGTGTGTGTGTGTGTGTGTGTGTGCGCTAGGATGCATGCGAGTACTTGTCCGGCCTTCTCTTCTCGTTTACAGCTCTGGCTTCTAGTCCAGTGGTGGAATGTGGTCACATTCCTCAGCATGTGGACCGACTGGACCTTCAATCTGTGTTCTGTGTGTGTGTTTATGCTCGTGCGTGTTCATGAACGTGTGTGTCAATGTTCTTCCTGGTGTGTGTCTGCGAGTGTGCTGGCAGTGGAAACTTTGATTCGGTGTGAGTTTTGGCAGCAGGAGGGAACAGGGAGTCTTCGCTGTGCAGCAGTGAAAATACACAAAAAAGGTTTCTTTGACTTCAGTCTTGAGGTCCATGTAGACATAATCACAAGAACCCGAGCTACGCCGTCTCTCATCTCTGCGATCTCCCATCGTTCTCTAATTTCCGCCCTCTTTGCAACGCCCTCCTCTTGTTGCTCTTTCAACTTGCTCCTCGGACTCAGGTGCCCCCAGGTGCCCCCCCCCCCACCCCTCCTTCTCTGTCTGTGGACGGTAATCCTAATCATCAGAAGGCCTCCTGCCCTGTCATCCTGCGCAGATCTGAGTGTCTGTGTGTTTGATGGGAGGAAAGCAGTGAGCTGCTAATCCCACCTTCTTACTCAGACACAACCAGACATTCAACACCACCACCACCACCAGGCTGACTGGTCCTCGACTGAAGCCAAACAGCTTAAAAGCATCCACCGTTACACCGCCGTGTTGTGCTCTCTCAGCTCAGCCGCAAGACAGAATAGAAACGGAGCTTGAGAAGCACACAGCTGGTCTTCATCTCTACTGATGTGGTGAAGTCTCAGTTCTGCTTGGCCGTCTCCGTTAAGAAAACATCCCCCCCTGAGGTGCCGAATGGAAACGCTCAGACTGTTTCCATTGAAATCCTCACATGAATGTTGGGGCTTTTTACCTTAAAATCATAATTGATTTGAGTTCGAACATGAGTTGGGTTGATTTCACCGTGAGACCATTTTCCACGTGTCAAAATAAACAGAAAAGGAAAAACAGAAATGCTCAAACTGAGGTCTTTGTCTCCGCTCGGTTGAAAACAGATGCTCATGCTGCCAAGATCTCCTTGGAGAACCGTGGCGAAGGAAGCTGCGGCCGCCCTGTTTTCCAGCACCGACAGACGGTCATGGGACCGCGAGGCCCGCCGCCAGCTGGCCGGAGAGAACAATCTTTGATGACGCACTGTTGGAGACGCCTCGACCAAGTCCACTCTCTCACACACACACACGGGAGGAAACAGAAAAACACTTTATTGTTCCTCTGCAATGTGGCCTCATTGAACATACCGAGTTCAAGGACACTGTAAAAGTCATGACAGTTAAATTGTCTTAACTACTCTGTCCCACATATATACAAATGCCTAAATAGACGTATGCAACATTGGAAAAAACTCCACATAAAACTGTTTGAATTATATTCATGTGTGGCAGCTGGAATGCCCAGATTTGACTATTTATTATAATTCGATTCACCAAACGGTGCTCTGATCATCCAGTTGAATTACCGAGACGGTTTTGAGGATCAAACTCAGCAGGTGTTGGAGCAGGTGGACGCATCAGGTGCATCTTCGAGCCGTTATGAGCTCCCACCCACGCGCGGGCATTAGGACCGCGGGATGAGAGCTAAAGTGAGCCTGAAGAAGAAGAAGAAGAAGAAGTTGAGGTCTCCTTGGACCTGCTTCGTCTGTCACTTCTGCTGCTCCATGGATGCGGAGCTGTTCTCGAGGAGACCGAGGTGGTCTCTTTTTAACTCTTTTGGATAAGCTCATCACTTTTCTTGAAGGCTTATCGAATTCACAGTGTGTGTGTGTGTGTGTGTGTGTGGGGGGGGGCGTTAAAGCTTAATCATGGGAAAGTCCAGAGGGCACCTGGCCAACTTCGCATCGCCCTCTCATCTGTACTCCTCATCGCCATGAGGCTGCTGTGGAGCAGAGCTGTCCGGAGGAAGATGCTCTACCTCTGGCTGCTGCTCATTGGGTTCGCCCTGGTTACTCTGGTGCTCTCGGACCTCCTTAACAACCGGCACCGGGTCCGCGGTCACCAGAAACCCGGTCCTCCCCGCCGCCCCTTGCAGGGCATTCCCAATGCGCCCGGCCTGGAGGTGATAGTGGACTCCTGGGACCCCGCGTTAGAGCTCGGTGTCGATCTCGCCCCGCTAAAGTCTCTGCAAGAAGACCAGCTCCTGTTCGTGCCGTCGGCGCAGGGAACCAACAACCCGTCGCAGAAGAAGGGGAGTTACAGGGTTCTTCTCCCCGCAGCGAACAAGGACTCCCGGGCGGCCGCGCCTCCGACGCACGGCGCGACGGGGAAGGCAGCGCGGCCACGTCCGGAGGCTGTGGAGGGGGATGCGCAGTCTTCTGCGGTGCAGAAATACGGCTTCAACGAGGTGGTCAGCGGGAGGATTTCACTGCATCGCAGGCTGCCCGACACGCGCCATCCCGAGTGAGTGCGCGTCGAGTTTTTTTTTTTGCACCGAAATGACCTCACTTGGGGTTATTGAAACGCGTTCCAAGTTGGAAAAGTTTTTGCGCTTTGTCAGTGTGAATTTGTTTCAGGTGTTTGGGGGAGCAGTACAGCGAGTCGCTGCCGTCGGCCAGTGTCGTTATCTGCTTCCACGACGAGGCTTGGTCCACGCTCCTGCGCACAGTGCAGAGTGTGCTGGACACTGCGCCCGGGCAGTATCTGCAGGAGGTTCTGTTGGTGGACGACCTCAGCCACCACGGTGAGTTGCCTCCAGCTGTCAACATCCATCCATCCATCCAGCCTTGACCAGTGTTGACCTCATGCCAATGTATTCGTCCCCGTTGACCTCGCAGGTCACCTGAAGAGCGTGCTGAGTGAGTACGTGTCTCATCTGGATGGGGTGCGATTGATCCGCAGCACCAAGCGCCTGGGGGTCGCGGGGTGTCGTTCTCTGGGTGCTGCCAGAGCTGCAGGAGAGGTGCTGGTGTTTATGGACTCCCACTGTGAATGCCAGAAGGGTTGGCTGGAACCACTGCTGGAGAGAGTGGCCCAGGACAGGTAGGCCCACTATTCTAATGATGTATACAAAAGCAACCGAGAGTGAAAAACTCTTTCAAAAACTGTTTCTATTTCAACAATACAAATGATTTGTTTTGGCTGAACTCCCAAATATATAAAATGTTAAATTGCCAGAGTTTTGGAACAATCAATATTTGTAATGTCTAAACATTTGGGATAAAAGTCGGTCAGCTCGTTGCTCCACTTCTGCTGTTTGAAATGAGAAGCGTTCAGAGATGTCAGCCGTCATTAGCAAACCACGGGGTGCGTGCTGTGAACGAGGCTGTGGCGCTCATCATTTGGTTCTCGTGTCTCAGGCTGCCCGCAGGGCAACTCTTGTTACACCAAGGTAATTAGGCTGAACTCTCAGACCTGCAGTCTGCCACATGTTTGACCCCCCCCCCCCCTCCCCTCTTTAATCTCTTCACTCTACTTCTTCTGAGTATCACACCAGACTTGGCCTCTTGGTAGAAACAAGAAGAAGAACAAGCCCCGTCAAAGGAACGCATGACTCACTTCTCTGACATAAATGAATATATTCTATTGCACATGTATTTGCAGTTATAGTTAGTGTAGGATATTAGAAACAAATTGACGATCCGGTTCATAAAATTAATAAAAATGCATATAGTGTGCACCAGAATACAGCCATGATTCTGAAACTGTGTAATCCATAAAGTAATGACAATATTGTAAAACCACTGTAATTCTGCAACTGTAATAGAATAATACCAATGTGCAGTTATGATTGTATTTGATGTAATGTAATCAACTGGAATGCATGCATGTAATACTTGCACAACAACTGATATTGACTAAGGATCATTCGAAATCCGAGTTACATTGAACTCACCAGAAGACCACTCCCAGAGGTGTGGACACTGACTTTCACACCTTTAAGCATTGTAATAAATACCTGTAGGAACCATTGTTCTGGAGTTCGCTGGTGGAGGAACAGACGGGCACTAGGGATGGTCAAAGGACTGACCTGGGGCCGGTTGGTTGCTGAGACCAGCGGCTCCTCAGCTGAGATGTTCTTTTTACCACAACGCCATCTCCTTTATTAAATACATTTGATTTTAACCTTTTGATCAGCGATGACCTCTGTTCTTCCGGCGTTTCTTCATTTTTGAACACAACATTAGGCAGTCGCGCACGCACACGTTCACAAACGCACAATGATGAGGAGGACAAAGGGAGGACGGTTAAGAATTGCGCCCCAAGAATCCACCTCGTTTTGAATCCCACCACGTGATGAATGCTTGAAAAAGGGCAATTTTTTATTTAAAAAGAAAATGCATGTGTGTGTCTCCTCGCAGGACCAGAGTGGTGTCCCCCATCATGGATGTGATCGACTGGCAGACATTTGAGTACAACGCCACCCAGTGGCCAGTCATAGGAGTGTTTGACTGGAGACTTGACTTCCACTGGGAATCGAACTCTCGGCTGCAAGATAAAGACTCAGCTGCTCGACCTCTGCTGTGAGTTCCCAGCAAAATGGTGTCATTTGTGCTTTGATGGCACCAGCACGTACTTATTTAAGTAATATCGAAGGAGGCCCAAGAGGAAGCAACGATCAATCTTTTTTGTGTGTGAAATGCAAACACACACCGCTATTTGTTTTTTTTTCCCGTCGGAAGAGCGGGGAGCCCTAAAGCGGCTGCAGGATTATAAATTCTGAATAATTAAAAAATCATAACATGTAAGGTAAAGTAAGGTCCTCCTTGTGTAATTGCTCCTAGCTCATAGAAATAACACAATAAGGAGTCACAAGTTCTCCACTATGTCCCGTGGGCCTTGTGAATTAAGGCTGTAATACTGAAGTAATGTGACTCTGCTCCTGCGATTGTTCTTGGCCAGCACAGTGATGCTGAATCTGTCTTGACAGGAGCCCGGCGTTAGGAGGCGGAGTCGTGGCCGTGGACAGACATTTCTTCCACAGTGTGGGAGCCTACGACCCTGGGATGCTGCTGTGGGGAGTGGAACAAATTGAGCTGTCAATCAGGGTAAAGCATTAATAAAAAAACATAATCTGCAATTCACCTGCTCATACATTAGAGAGCGATGACAGATTGCTTTTGTTTTTGCATCTCAAGCCACATAATAAACATAAACGTAAGCGCTTTTAAGCGATTTGGCTGCTTTGTGTCAGAGCCTCAGGAACGTTTTTCTGGGACCTGATTCCTCCTTTTGCAAATGGAAATCTCAGGTTCAATAGTGGTCTGGGAATGTCTGGGCCGGGTGACAAATGCACAAATAGGAGAAGAATTGTTTTCCCGCGATGACCATTCAAATTCATATTTTGGGAATGTAGCATGCTCTGGGACTTATTGGAACTCATGCATTAAAATAATGCAAAATGCAGCTTGCAAAACATAACATGCAATATATAACACTCCTCTGCAGTAAAATGCACACAAAAACTACAGGGACACAAAACCTGTTTTTAATGTGCCCGTTATCCCAGGTGTGGTCATGCGGTGGCACCATGGAGGTGGTTCCTTGCTCTCGTGTGGCCCATCTTGACCATCACCACCCGCCGTACCGCTTCCCAGACCAGGATCTGCTTCAGAGGAACAAGATCCGGACAGCCGACACCTGGATGGACGCGTACAGGAAGATCTTCTATAGGAGAGACACACTCGCTCATTTCATCAGGCAGGTGTGTATGTTTGTTGAGGGGCCCTGGTCAGGAACTTGTTTGGTGAGTTTACTAAATATGGAAAATACTACAAGTGGTTTCTTCTGTGCAGTCCGAGAGCCCCGACATCACAGAGCGTCTGCGGCTCAAGAGGAATCTGGGCTGTCGTAACTTTCACTGGTACCTGACTACAGTTTATCCTCAACTTTACATCCCCCAGGACAGACCTACGCTGTCCGGCGAGGTACCACCCCCCCCACCCCCCCCTCACACACACAGCATTTATTCCACTCATTGATGGCCGATGGCTGATGTGTCCCATTTGTGCCTGTCTGAAGCTGTACAATGTCGGCACCGGCAGCTGTGCAGACTACCCCCGGGGGCCGGGGCCGCAGGGCGGCGCCATGATCGCGGCGCCGTGCAGCGGGACAGGCAGCCAGGTAACCGTTGACAACGATGGTGAAAATAATCGGAGAGAAACAGGTAACACACAGAGCGGCAAAGACGATCCCTCTTCCCGTTGCAGCACTGCGATCTGAACTCTGAGTTTGAAGTGCGTTGGGGTCCCTCGGGGGCTCTGTGCTTGGACGCCAGCGGAAAGAGGGCGGTCTTATCTCCGTGCCCCACGCACAGGCCCACCGCCAGCAGACTCAAGTGGAAGTTCATAAAGGCAAGAGCGGAGGGACGAGGTTCCTCAGTGTCTATCCCGTTCGACGTACGCGGTCACGAGGTACTTGGCTCACTCCGACCGTGTCTGTTTTTCTGCTTCAGCTGAGCGGTCAACTGGTTCACCAGCAGTCCCAGTTGTGCCTGGAGGCCGTGATGGAAGGAGGTCTCACGCCAAGCAGCCCGAGGGACGTCAACACCAACGCAAAGACGGGAGGTCTGTTCCTGCGCCCCTGCACCCATCACCCCAGACAGCAGTGGCACTTTGAGCAGCTGGTAGCTCCTAAAGGTGCTTGATACAGAGACATCACAGGGGGAGGTGGGTCAGGGGGGGAGGTGATGAACTATGTGCTTTGTAGAGATCCATGCAGGAGTGGAATGGTGCAGAAAAATACAAAAACAGATGCCCTTCTTTTGCTTCTTTTTGATCCTGTTTTAAGGATCGCAAATACAATTTATTGTGAGCTAACAAACAACAGGGCGTCTAAAGTGGTAAAATACAAGATACAAAACTGTTTATTTAGTAATACGCATTGTATTGTAAATTGATTCATATTCAGTGTGGAAGCATATTCTTAAATGATCTTCTTTATTATCTACTTTAGTAGGATAAATGTCTTCATGAATCCATGTGTGTCATACGTCATGTGTTCTTGAGCACACTGCTGAAAAACAGAATCCCATTAAACACAGATTCATCTCATCTCTATAAACCAAATACTACAGAGGTACAAATTAGTCCACGGTATACTTAAATATTAGATAAAACTTGTAGCCCAACACCATCATTACACCCTTCTTCTCTCTGAATCGAAAAGTAGAGCTTGAAAAAAAAATACACAAACTGATGAAGCTAAAAGAAAAATGAGTTATTTTTTTAATTACCAGTAGGGATCAGATAAAACATGGAACACAATTAGACAAGTTAGTAACATTTAAAACATAAAGGTAGACTTATTATTGAAAATCACATAATATTCAGGTCTGTAGATACTTTTGCCTTCTTGATGTCGTTCTGTTCCGGCAATTAAGGTAATTATTCACTGCTACTAATGACTCTCACGATAATGACGCTCCTCTATTTAAGTGTTCCAGTATAAGCTATCACGAGAAATACCAGACACCAAAGCAGCTAATGGAATATAACCAGCATTCATTCAATCATTTATACCTGCGCATTGGTCGAAATGGCAAAACAGGAGAGTGAGAGAAGTGGTCTGAAAACACCTGTGTAAGTGATCAAATTCAACAAAATGCTTAAGACAAAATGTCCTACTGGTTTTCCCCGTGTTCGGGATTGTGTTTCACATTCAACCTTGACCAATACTCATGCATTATCAGCTACAGAAAGCAGAGGGAGCCATTTACCCTAAAAAGCCTTTTTAAACCCTCGTCTGATCACTTTGTTAATGCTACGTAAACAGTATGATTTACACATGAGAGCATCCTTAAAGATGTCCTCATAGCAAACACAACCATGTGACAGTAATATCCAGACGCACACGTGACTGAATATATTGACCTGGTACTCAGGTGTTTTTGGTTCAAGTCATTTCCCAATCACTAGTGTGCCCTTTATTCAAGCCACTGAGGTTCAGAGGTCAGCTGGCAGGCAGGAGGACGCTCCCCTTGTCCCCAGGCGCCGAGTGCTAATAACCGCCTGTCCTCTGTCCCAGTAATGCTCCTCTTAACCCGTGGTGCACTTAGACCGGTCAAGTACACAAGCACCTTCAGAATGAAAAAAACCCCAAAACAGTCATGTGGTATGTCTGCAGCTCGGAGGCACATGCTGTTGATTGATACGTCCTTTCACTCGGTTACACGACCACAGGCCACTGAGCTGGTGGACAAGGGGCGCAGTGTCTCTCTGTTTTACAACTTCAGAGGTTGTCGAGAAGGACGCGGAGTCATTGTGGGTTCGTTTCACTGTGAAGAGAAAATGGATGTTAGCCCAACAGACTGCAGGACATAGTCGCCCACACCTTTAAATCATGACACAATACAATGGATTTTAATGATGCTCCAAATTTGTGACGGAAAATTACACCGGCTTACTTTTCCGTGTGTGTTTTGGGATTTCTGTTATGCAAACTGACCATAAGTAACTTCCCAATGAAGTTACCTTTATACTTATTTTGCTTGTGAATGACATTTTATCAAATGAAAGTAATACTGGTTCATGCCCTTTGCATTTCAAACCGAAAATGAGTTCCTTTATTTTATTCGATACCTGTGCTTTGTTGTCCTGTCCGTATTTTCATATGCAAGCTCAGTTTCTGTCAAAGGCATTTCTGCACTGTGGGTTTTTTTAATACAGTAATCACAGTAAGACAGACAAGTATTGTCAGATGTAAACTAGCTCAGGATTCATGCATCAGTATCTTGATTCGGCCCCGACACAATCGACCTGTGAAAACATAAGAGGACTGAAAGTGAAGAAGGACCTTAAACATGCCGCATGCTCACAAACACACACACGCTGAGACGGGGATGGATGTCGGCTGCCGCGGTGCGCGGAGCCGCGGCCCCCTTATGAAGATCCATGGGTCTATTTCACTCAGGACGCGGCTGGCTGTACTTACTGTGTGAGGCTTCCGGAGCCTCGGGTGTTCTTTACACGGACGCGGTTGTTTTCAGCCGTTTGTCATGTGCTTGTTGTGCAATTAGGTGGATGTGGACGGGCCTCAGGAGCCGCGACTGACACTGAGTAAAGATTAAGTGCATTAAAATGTGACAAAACCCTGGCTTGCAGCAGCAATTAAGGTCAGAGACCACAGAGGCTTCCGAATGTCTCGTTTAAACAGTGTCTGGTGACACAAACCCTTCGCAAGGGCCTTTGAATTCGGATTCAAGTGTTTCAAGGATACTTGTATCTGCGCAATGCCTCCAAAACTTTGGAATTGCTGTGAGGAGAATATAAAAGCAGTGGCGCGGCTCAAATATAAAGGGTGAACAGGTGGCGAGAATGTTATTTAAGTATTTGAATCATCAGATTCTGAGAGTTCCATCTACAGTCGCGCCTGATTATGATGCAAACAACAGTCTACTAACTATCTCCCTTTTCTCTCAGTCTAGTAGCTGTAGAAAACGTAAGACAAAGCAGAGACAGCGGGCCCTCTTCTGCTATCATCTTGATGGATCATTAAATGCCCAATCTGGGGTTGTACGGCTATACAGAAAAGCTGCAGGACTTTGGCTCGTTTTGCAGTGTCAATTTTGCTTTGGTCCTCCTCCAAAGACACACAGCTGTGCAACAGAGTGGAAATGTACTTCATCTGCAGCTGTCTGTGTTTAAAGAGTAAAATCCTGCCAGGTGTTCAAATACATAAAACCCCCTGTTTTTATCTTCTGCTACACACGATTGGGTGTTTTGGTCCAGACTTTTTTGCCTCACAACGCTCCACATGCTGATGATCCCTCTGTCCGCTGCTCTGAAAACAGTGGAGACGATGTAGCCGCTTTCCAGGCATGCTCGCTCCGATGGGCCATGCGAGTCCTACACGCGCTTCCGGGAGGAGAAACCGCCATTAATCTCTGACACGCGTGCTGTTCCTCACCCCCGCCCTCCCTCCCTCCCAACACCGCTTGTACCGCAGCACCCAGGGGAGCCCCCTCGACTCATTTATCAAACACACAACATGTCCTGCAAGCTTCCCCCTCTTTTCCTTCTTCAGCGCAAACGGGACTATTTGGATGTGCAGCAGTAGCCGCTGTTTCACCTTGAGTGGCACAGGTGAATGTAAAGCCCCCCCCCCCTCCGTGGGGAACGTTTCTGCTTGTCTCACACGTATGTGTGCGCTCTATCATGTGCAAACAGCCCCTTGATATATGTACAAAGCGCACACTAGTTCAAACACAAACATATTGTGTCCTTGGTCCAGCGCACAGTTGGGCTTTTCTTTTTGTTTTCAGGCAGCCTATCGGGTCCCAGTTAACGGAGACACCTCACCACGGCAGGCAGATCTCAGCATACCTCCATTATGCCCAAGGAGAGGTTCACACCTCCAGCACCGCGATGGTGTTTTTCAGTTCTGTAATTCTGGGATGGGGGTCGAGTGAAGAGGCTCTTTTCAATGGGATAAAGTGCTCATTTGAATGGAAGATTGAATGTGTGTGTGTGTGTGTGCGCAGCGGTTCTCTGTGTGCACACAGATGAAAAGGCTGGACGGGGATGAATAGTTGCTGTATTTGGGTCAGGGCCATCGTTAAATAATGTGAAGAGAGGATTGAACCGACAGCAATAGAAACACTATGAAACGCAATTAGACGTTTTTAAGTATAAAAATGAATACTCATACATCACAAGTCCACATCCCACCTCTTTTACTGTATTGGTTTCTCTTTTAATTGTTGCTTTCAGCATTTCCTTTACATGTTTCAACCACATTGTTTTCCCTCTCTGTTCCCCTCTCCTCTTGATCCCTTTAAGACCCAACTTTTATCTGAAACCACAAGTGGTGGGAAAGAGAAAGGCGGCTGGGCTTCAGCTGCTAATGACAGATTGTAGGGAAGTGGTGAATAAAAGATGAGTTTGCTAGCAGGTGGATAAAATGATGCATAAACGTCCAGGATGGGATTGTCTGTACGCCATTAAATATGGATGGGTCCTCAAGATCCCGGGCTAAATAAGAGCATTCCCAGGGAGGCGCTGCTAAACCCACAAATAATCATCCTCAGTGTAAACCCACCTGCAAGTTTCTTTTCATTAAAAAAGACACACGGAACCGGTGAAAAATGATCAGCCCGGGATCATCTGGCCGCACATGTCTTCACTGTCCCTAAAAGTGTCACGTATGTTTCAACTGGATCTCCACAGATGTATGTTTCTTATCCAGACAGATCTAGCATTCCCCTCAGTCCACTTCCTGCAAACACACACACACATGCACACGCGCACGCGCACGCGCGCACACACACACACACACACACACACACACACACACACACACACACACACACACACACACACACACAGTAGAGCAGCAGCATGCCAGGTGAGAGCAGCTGGACTTGTAAATGTAATCCACCAACGGGACATGACGATTGCCGCGCTCTCACCTCGGATGAACCGCCGCAGCAGCCAACAAAAGACGGACACACACACACACACACACACTCACGCGTGCACTAAACAAATACACACCGCTATTATAAACAACGTGGACAAGCAACAGCCTTGTAGGACAGAGATTCAGCAACAATAACTTTGTTATGTAGCTTTTTATTGGTGAATGGAATAAAACAACAATTCAGCGACAGCTGTTGGATTTCCATAAGACGGTGCTCACACATGTGTGAGTCTCAGTCATGGTGAATCGTGAAACGTTTGGGCTCCCGATGTCTCCACTGCCGTCATCATTGGTTCAAAGTTGCAATTGAACTAATAACACGACCAGAATCCTCCATAAACGACATTCCCATCGGCCTCACACGTAACTCCTTATGTTGATGAGCAAATATTAGCATGCTAATATGCTAAACTAATAATGTGAACATGGTTACCACCCGCATGTTACAGTTGCTCTTGTGAGGTCGTTAGCGTGCATATGTTAGAGTTTGGCCCAAAGCAGATTCTCGTCGGGTTACTGACATGTAGACTATAGATTTTGAAGCGGCATAGCATAGTTTTTACCTGGTTTAGCTGTAATCCAATGACTTCATACATGTATCTGGATATCAGCAGATTATTGTAAAAACCTACAAAGCAAATCAATAGATCTGCTGGACGAATAGGCTTTGAGCTATCTAATCAAAAAATACGTTTTATATTATTTTAATCATATTGATGGAACTGATCAGGAATTACACTTCCTTCATGAGCAAAGGTTTAAACATGGACTTTCAAAACAAAATAATTGTCATCATGTTGCATGCAGGTTTTAAGGAATATAGTTTTTAACTATTCTGTTTTTTGTTTTTTTATTGATTTATTTTGTAAAACTGTAAAAAGATTATACCTGGATGAGAATATCTCATAACGTCTTTCATGCTTCAATGAATGTTTCTTTGAAAACTAAACGAAAACAAGGACATACGGGCCTAACATTCTTATTTGTCATTTATTAGCATAACAGTTGTTTTGTATCTAATAATATCAAAATGTTATGGGAAAAAAAGTATGATTTATTACAGTACATTCCATTTGCAGAGAAGCAGCCGCAAACAAACATCAAGTCAAAAGAGTACAACGGATCTGCCAGGACGAGAGTTTGGATCTTTTCCCTGGTTTAAGATTGCATCGGCTGGTACCAGCAAACAGCACTAACTTCATATACAGTGGCATCATCAACTGCCCTCCCACGCTCTTGCATTACTTGAGGTAAAAAAATACATCTTTAGTATTGATACATTCATAGAAATATAAAAGCTTCTTTAATTTTTTGTTAATGCTTTTATATGGGAGTATTGCCTTTGCTCTGAACAGCTGAGGAAATGGATCTCAAAAGATGTAAAACCCCCGGCTGACGATCGGGAATAAGGCCCCATCATGGATCACGGACCGATCTATTATCGGCACTGATGCTCCAGGCCGATTAACAACAGGGGACCACTACATTGTCCTAAACCTACCCAGTTATTAGACTGAGCCAACGTACAATAAATATGCATCAGTAAATGCCAGGTTCGGCTAATAAAAGATTGAACCATGTTTCCTTTAAATAGATAGATAAATGGCAAGCTGGATTTCACAGGGTGACGTGCGGCATGTTAATGTGTGTCCACAGGCACCACTCAAAAGGCCCGGAAAGGCATGCGGAGAGCAAGAGACAGATAAACACAGAGGGAGAGAGAGAGCGTCTGTGTGTGCCGGGAAAAAGAAGCAGGAGTCCCTCGGCTCAGTGTGACGGACGACAGCAGGGATCGGGCGGCCCGAGGCAAAACACTCCCCCCCCCCCCCCCCACACACACACACACCTCCATAACCAGCTTCCTCCACCCTCTTCCCCCTGAGGGGCAGCGGTAAAGAGCACGGTTGTCCCATCTCACAATATTCTGTGCTCCCAGTCCACCAGCCCCAACAGGCCAGGCACTGGTGCACGCGATCCAGGACACCCTGTGTGGGTTGAGTGCGCGAGGAAAGAAGGTTTAAAACGAGACAGGGGCTTGGGGGATGGACGCGTAGAGACACCCCCTTCTTGTCTACAAACCCCACCTCCGCTCATAATGCTTTTTGCTCCTGCAGCCAGACCAGCTGACCAGAAACCATTAACAGTCTTGAGGAGGGGGCGGGGGGGGGGAGAGAGACTCCAAACCTCTTCAGCTGTTCTAACAGCACTACATTCTATTAGGGAAAGCTAACGCACCTAAACCTTCTGTGCTTGATTTCATGCAGCGAGATTTGTTAACACGTGCCTTCCAAACAAAAGGAATCGAAGTCCTTCCTCCAATGGTATGACACGGTCAAGCCGGAGCTGAAGTTCGGGGAAGATGTCCCCCCGAAAATGTTCCGGATTAAGTCCTGCACGGTCCCGGAATGTTCAATCGGAGGGCCGCTACAAACCCTTAGGTGGGTTGTGGTAGACGGCCCCAAGTCCCGCTTGCAGAAAGCACCCGGAGCTCCGATGGAGGCCCTCGTCTCCCCCGTCCTCTGGTGGTGGATTGTGTTCCCTTTGCCTAATGGAGACGGAGACCCCGTCGTCGTGGTGGGACATTACTGGCGAGCTAAGGGGGGAGGAAGGCAGGTGAGGGTCCGAGGCGACGGGCTGCGGTCGGAGTGCAGACGGGCTGCGAGATGGATTGGGAGCGGAGGCGGGGAAAGCGGAGAAACCCGGCTGGAGGTCCTGGGACATATGTGCGAGGAGGTCCTTGTGGCACATTCCACCATGTTGCTGGGGGATGGTGAAGGGAGGGGAAGGCAGTGGCACGGGCACGTCCGTCCGTACGGAGGCAGTCTGAGAGGAGGCTGGTGGGGGGAACGACTTAGGAGGGGTGGGATGGGGCAGGTACGTGAGGTGTGCTGGGGAGCAGTGAGTCGGGCGCACTGCTGTAGGCTGTGGCGTTGATGACATCACGGTCTCCATCAGCTGGGCCATTCTCCTCATGACTTGTCCAAGGTCAGCTACTTCCCTCCCGAGGATACTCACCTGCAGACACAAACAATTCTCATCTTTAAAGAAGAAAAAAAAAGACTGAACATGGGTGTGTGGCATTAAAAAAAGAAAATTGATTCATGGCTGTGGACGGTTGGTATTAAAAAATGTAACTTCAATTCTTTAGATTTAAGTGTAATCAGGTCCACCATTCCTGCACTGATTTAGTTTTATCTCATTGAAAACTACCTCAGTGTTCGCTCACTTTCCACCAAGTAGCTGACCAAATACCCAACTGAGTCCAGGCAGACTTCAGTGCGACATACATTATATACACTCTGCAGAGTGTACAGGACGTCATCATGAAGTTTGTATTTTCAGGTCATATTTGGCTCTCCAGCCTGCAGTCAGGCACGTTATCGCCGTGCCGCTGCAATCGGTCATTACGCTGATGATGGCGGTCGGCGTGATTAGCCGCTCTCTGCATGTGGCGTGTCCACAGAGGGCGCGGCCGGCAAGCCTCGCCAACGTGAAATCACTCATGTCCAATCATTGGAACAATCGTGCACATCAGTGCTACCGGATGCACATCAGCCCTCAGCAGGACGCACGACTCCAGGTGGGAACCGCTCCGGTCGCTGTGGGAATACGGCGAGAGGTGATCCAGTACGTTGTGATCACGGCAGCGAAAAAGGTGGCTTCTCTCTTCATGTCACAGGGTGACATGGACACACAATGTTTGGCATATATACTGAATACACAGATACCTGCAGGACCCCCACACAATACTGTATACAGACACATACAGATAAATATTCTCTCTCATTAATTTCCCTCTCCTCTTCCTCTTGTGGTAGCTGATGAAAGCTGGGGTCTAAACTCCGGCTCTGATAAAAATAGAAGAGCTGAGAGAGCGACAGGAAAGTCCAATCTGACACGCTGTCAACATGATTCCAGTCCTCCCACCTCAGGGACGACCGTCTGTGGAGGACGTCAGACAAAACAGCAGCCATGGTTAACGAGAACCCACCGCAGCCGCAGGTACCCGTCATGCTTGTATAACATGCTTGAGAATTACGTAAAAATGACCAACAATAAGGAATTAGCTGTTTTCTCTTTTGTAAACCTGATAATTTCCAAGTGGAACCTGAAGTAGGAGAATAAGAAAGCTGCCTCAGACAAAACCACGACGCTACCACAAGAGGAGGCTCCTGATGAAGTCACCTCGACTTCCTTCCGCTCGCTGCTCCAAACGTGCAAGAATTCCAGCTCGGGGGGGGGGGGCAGAAAAGTTAAGACTCTCCTGGAGAACGTCTGGCCGAGCACATTCACCAACCGGAAACACCCCTCTCAATAACTGCAAATGTCTCCCAGTGTCTGCAAGACGCGTGCAGCGATAACACGCACACGTTGCTTTTTGGTGGTTGATTTTCTTCCCCGCTGTTCATTTAGTAAAGGAGGTCACTGCTGCTGTGCATACGGGTCTGCACCTATCTCTCACTGTCGAGCCTCTTCTCGCAATCACAAGTGCAATCACTTAGTTTGTGCAGGGAAAGCTCTCATTCCTCCAGCTCTCCTGCGTCGCCGCACATTTCCACGACGCGGTACAAAGGTCACCAGTGACTGTATTAAAGCCTCAAAGTCATCTTCCGCCAGAATAAACCCTCCAGCGGCATAGATTGTGACACGAGGTTAAAGGTCAAAGATGAGAGGTCACAGAGCATTGAAGCATTTATTGCTACGTTCACACTTCTTGTAGCTCATTAAAACGCTGCAACTTTTGTGCGTTTCGGGCGGCAATCAGAAAAAGACATTGACCTTTGCAGTTGTTTTCTAAGATGGCAATAACTCAAGTTTAAAATTGCAATTTATTTTATTAACGAGTATGGATTCAGGTCTCAAGAGCCTTGCTACATGCTTTTCTTTGAAAGAATTGGTACTGTTGTATTTGTTGATTAAGAAAAAAATAACACCACAAACCACCAAATTGCATGCGTTCTTTTGTGAAGTCAAGTGGGTCTAATGGATTTGTATCCACAGTTAAGAACGAACGAACGAAAACTGGAGTGGAACATTAGCTGATATTCAATCCACTTGAGTGCAAGAGTTCACCACAGTGTCAAACAAAAAAGTTTTTCTTTTCAAATGCTGTGTTTAATGAAACTCTCCCCTGTGTGCCAAATGGCAAACGGCTGCATTTGTCATTCATATTTGAGTTCATGTAGAAAGCAGACATGGTTCAAACAACCCTTTTTCATCTCAGACATGATCTGTGTGGATGGATCCAAGAGAGGATTAACAACCTCCAAGACCACGCTGAGACACTTCCTGTCAGACGCCGGTAACCCGCAGAGACACAGACAGGACAACAGAGCCAATGTGCTTAACTGTACAGATGCTGTGCCATTGTCTGTGCCTGTCTTTTTTTCCCTCCCACACTGATTGGCTTTTTGTTTTCTTCTCATAAAACTACCTCCCCTCTCCCCCTTTCTCCATCCATTTCCTTTTCATCATGTGTCTCTTTCTCTCTCTGACTGAATCTGCTCATCCCAGACGCAGACAGAGGCTCAGCGGGGGGAAGCAAACACTCCTTCTCACCTGCCAAAAGTCTAATGTCAATTTAGCCACCCGCCAATCAAAACCATGGGATTCGGCACGAGAGCCGGCGTGTCTGTGTGAACGGATTATTTCAAGCTGGACATTGAAACTTCTTTCCAACACTCCCAAATATTACATTCTAAAATGCAACCGACCAGTCCCAGTCGGTCCGGTGTAAAAAGAAAAAGCCACATATGAGACCCTGGGGTTGAGATTCACCAGACTGATTAAATTTTAAATATTGAAAAATGTAAATGTGATGTCATTCTATGAAGCCTCATTATAAGACCACCTCCTCGGGCAGACTTTCTTGTGTCACCATTACTTCTCTTAATGTTTTTACCCATCTTATGCCTGACGTGCTGATTCAGACATACATGGTCCGTCTCTCTCTCTCTCTCTCTCTCTCTCTCTCTCTCTCTCTCTCTCTCTCTCTCTCTCTCTCTCTCTCTCTCACACACACACCTGCTGGTCGAGGTGTTGCAGTTGTCCTCTGGTCTCTTCTGCTTTAGCTGCTAATTCTGCCGTGCTGATCTGCAATGTATCTGTAACACAAATCACTCAGATAAGATGTATTGCATCACTTTCTAGAATGTGCATAGTATCAGGTCATGTTTTGTAGTACTAGTGAGTAGCATGGGAGGACCTGTGGAGGACGCCGAGGCACCGGTTTGTTCGTTGACAGGGCATCCTCGGCTGGTAGAGAAGGGGAAAGCTAAGGAACCTTCTGCCTCCCTGTTGTTCTTGGTGCCGTCCACTATGCTGCAAAGAGGCAGAAATGTGTGTGTGTGTGTGTGATGGGAGGAAGGTCGTTACTGATTGTTGGATAATTGAGAAACAGCATTCACGTTAATATGGTCGTTGTAACTTTGTCGTATTGTTTCATGGTCTAAAACTGTCACAGTTTGTACCAAATACTGTGAAAAGGAACGACAAAAAGAATTGAGCCGACACCGTGTCCCGGGGAGAAAGACCTTGACGGGCGGACGGACCAATCAATGGCGATCAATCTGACCTGGGGCTGAGGTTGGAGGAGTCTAAAGTGGTCAGAGTAATTTCCTGGTTCTTCCTCCGAGACCTCGTGGAACTCTGTCCCGGGGTCTTCTTGCCGGATCGGCTCGGCTGAGACTTCCCATCCGCGTTGCCGAGGTTCACCCCGCGATTCCTCTCGGGCGACAGAGACGCAGGCGCGGCCTCCTCTTCCTCCTTCTCTTCATCTTCCTCAAGTTCCTCCAGTGCCTCTACGATGCGCGGATAGCCCTGAACCACTCCTCCATTCCTCCTCCCTCCAGGCTGCAGATAGAATGAAAGGAAAATCTCTTCACGCCGTGTTCGGTTAACTGAAGCATGAGCCTTGATTATGTTAAATGTGTCTTTATGAAAAAAACGGCTAATTTCTGTGTACAGAATACGCTAAGCGGCATTTGCACAGTTGATACTAAGACCCTGAAACACTCTGAATACACACTGAAGGTATCAATACACTCAAATGTGCAAGTGCAAGGAGCAGAGCTTCATGACGTGGTTGAAGAAAAGTCCCCAGACCAACATTTAAGGCTGAAACTGTAATGAAGGCGTCCAAAGTGAACTCTGACATCAGTCCTGCGCCCTCTTTTATCAGTCAGCAAGTTGAGCGAAAATGCAAAGGTGGCTGATTAACCATAAGATGAGGATCCAATTTGGTAACGACGGGAAAAATCGAAGTAGCGGAAAACCGTGACCTACAGATGTGCAGCCGATGACCCGACTCTCCCGGAGGAAGCAACACCCGCGTGAGGTTAAGGGCCCCGCAATCAAAGAGCAGCTTGACGGCATCTAGATCTAAATCAACCAATATTCGGAGGAAGAATGATTGAACCGCTGCCCAGATGGTTACATACTCGAAAAAAAAACATTCATCAGAGCTTTGAAAGGAGTCATTGAGTCCATTGTCAGCGGGTAAACTGTAGCGTTGCCCTGCAGAGTTTCCAAAGAAGGGGTGAAGGTAAACGAGGTCGCACAAGCCTTTTGAGTTGATGGTGTTACATTCAGTTGGTTGTGTTTGAGCGTCGTTCGGGGGTTGAGGTGCTTTACCTGAGCATCTAGTGCGGCGCTGGAGAGTCGGGCCTTAATCTGGAAGAGAGGCAGAGAGGAAATACACAGTCGGTGAACTGCAAGAAAAAGCAATCAAGATGTGGCCTTTTTTTCCTCTCTCAGTGTTAAATTTGCGAAGGAGTTATTTCGCAACACTCAGCGGTAAAGTTGACAATACACTATATATACTAAAGTTATATTGCTCGAGGTGATCCAATGATGGGAAATAATTCACCTCACACGGAAGCTGCTGGCTTGTGCTCATACAATAACGTTCCACCGATCGCACCCGCAAACACATCCTCTGCCTCCTTCCTCCCTTCTTCACTTTCGACCTTCCTCAGTCCTGAGATTTGGTTTGCCGCTCTGCACATTAGTTTCCCCTGAAAGTCCCTCGGCAGATTGTGTGTGTGTGTGTGTATTGCTGCAAGCGGTCCGGTTGTGTTTGGACTGGGGAGACTGAAATACCTGACGATAATTACGGCAGCAGAGCTCCTCCAAGCGCCCCGGCTATTTTCTCTGCTTCACTGTTTCTCTTTCACACACACAGACACTCACACAGATATACACTTCCCTTCTTGTTTAGTCAAAGTCCATCCCAACTCTAGCCCTGACCCATCTGTCACTCACACATTTCAGTACCTCCATTCATAATAAATGAGCAAGTGTATGAAGTATCTCATTCATTTCAATGCAAATACACAAAAACATGCATTTATAAAAATTTAAAGATTCATAAAGTAGTTTAGAATACAAAAAACTGAGTCTGGTGCGTAATCATCACCGCATTTCTATCTACCAAGTGTAATTTCCGACCCACTTGGACAATACTCTGGACTTACGTGGGTCTCGTGTCCCTCCCTCAGGTTGTACGTGAGGTCCTGCTGGATGTCCTGGACAAAGTTCTGCGAGTATTCAGGGTAGAGGTCCAACACCTCGTACAGCCCCCGGAGGTTAACGCACTGCAGGTCACAGTACGTCAGGGCTTTCACGTCCGCGTTGGTTTTTATCACTCGGTCGTCTAAGGACAGGTTCGCCCCGATCAGGTCGCCTTTACCTGCCCAGGGGAGAGACGTGCACACGGGTCAGACTGAAGGGCGTCACATGGTGCGGTTTTCCTCTGGTAAAAGGGGACGAGGATGCGGTTCCCGTAATGTCGACTCTGCATCGTGTGTCCGATCTCCCATTTATTAAAGAGCTTCTCTGGCAGAGGGCAGGTTGGAGGGTCTGAGGGGGTCTGGACCAGCATGAGGATGAGCACATGTCCCCCTGCCCTCATGTCTGCATGCATAACTAATAGCTATATTAAGTCCACAGGTTTGTCACTTTCGAATGAGAAATAAAGTCCTTTGCTATCATGAATTATTTTAATATAAGATTTTTAAGGTTGCGGTTGTAAATTTTCAAATAAATGGAATTGATGGATTTTGGTTTAATTAATTGGTCAAATGATTCATTGATGAATTAAAGCGCTGCAAAGACAAATCAAGTGTCATGTGAGAAGAGTATAAATACCAGCTGGTCATCCAGAACAAGTTCTTATGAATCGCTTAACACAGACCCACAAAGCGCTATTGAAAGGATTTATTAAGCAATAAATTCTACAATAAAGTTATCCTCTTGGCACTGTCACTAAAACATTTTTGGAAAATTTTCCACGTTCTTCCTGCTGGGTTAACGTAATCCTCCGTGCCTTTGGGTTCTGTTTGGTTCGTTTTAATTCAATCCTTTGCGTTTTCTGTTTCAATAATCCTGCCATGATCCCCCTGTCCCCCGTTAGCGCCGCGGTCACCTGACCTGGGGCTCGCAGAGGCCCGCCTCCCCATTAGCCGGTCACTATTTATCCCACGTCCTTTGTAGCTTTGGCTTCTGTTGGTGCTGCATGGGGCTTTGTTTGTTTGTTACCTGCCTGCACCTTCGACTCTGGAAGCCTTTTGTTTATCAAATCATTTACTTGCAACTGTCAGCATGCGTTTGTCGGCTGCGTGGGCTTCCCCGGGGAAAGTCCTACTTCCTTGAACTAAGTCCATGGAGTCATAATTGAGGTAATTTAATCGTCCACGGTTACGTTTCTCTATGCTTTCGTTTGGTTCGGTTGTGGCCGAGGGAACGGTAACTTGTTGCAGCTCCTAATTGAATCCTGCCAGTAAATAAACACAGCACAACCTTTTTCGCTACAGTTCTACTGTCTGTTGCAGATCAACTTTGGTCACCTGAATTTTTACACACCGCCGTAAAAGCCAAATAAAACGACTTAAGAATACTGTAAATGTGGAGAGTATTTACGGTCTAGTTCTGAAACACATTTACTCTCACGGTTTTCAGTAAATGAAGGACGAGCTGACAGCTGTTTCCTGTTCTCAGCGGACAAAGTTGTGCGAAGAAGCACGTTAGCGTTAACGCCCCTTAAGCAGTGCTAAAATATTTATTATGGTCGTTCAGAACTGTGAACGCTGCTCTATTACACCGATGCTGATGGAGCAGTCGTGACTTCTCCCTCCTTCTCGTTAGCATCTGTCTCAGTCAAACATGACTTCCTCCTCCTCTTTGTGACTCCTCATGTTGTATCAGTCCTCTTTCCTCCCTCTTTCCTTCCTCGCTGCCCTTCAATCTCATACTTTCTTGCCTCCTTTGTTTTTGTTTTTTTCTGTCTTACTTTCCTGCTAAGAGGACAAAGACGGAAAGACATTTTTATTTCAATCAATTGAGACAAAGTGATGAATGGCGTTTGTTTCAGATACTTCTTGCTTTCTTTTACCGACAAACACACACACTTTCCCGTCACACATGCTCGCGCCAGATTGCTCCGTAACTTTGTGTCACAAAGGTCAGACAGCAAAAGCCGTTAAGGTCACTCTGTACAAGAGGTCGGGTCACACAGCAGATGAGGGTGGTTGGAAATACAAGCAGAGCGAGGAGCGCTCACGTCTTGTTCCCTCCGGTCCGTCTGCTGAGGTCTAAGAGTATTTCAGATTTTTCTCCCAAAAGTATTTCCTTTCATATAATCTAATTTAATTTGCATTAGAACTTCACACAATGAACCCTTCTGTATTAATAGCACAACTCGCAATTATTATTGCGATTGTTATTTCTTAATAAAGAACCACACAAATATTTCTTTGTTTGAGCTGAATTGCAGTTTTCGAAAATGTTTTTCATAACCTTGTTTCCCCATTAATGAG